ATATGCTTAGGTTACTTAGTAGTTGTTATTATAAATAAGAGGCTTGACAAACCAAGCAAAGTTTACTTGTTTATTTTAAAAATTGTATTCTGAATTTTTATAAACGAAACTAGCTGTACCCTGCCACGTTTCTCTGTGGCATATTGTGGTTAAGAGGGCACTTCTGAATACATCAATGTTCCGGCAAAATCATCTTCCTGGCATAAGGTGAAGAAGGCAGTCAGAGTTGTCGCTGGCGGATTCAGGACTCTTTCTTGCACATTTCTTTCTGTGAAATAGATACGTTGACCATTCTCGAAATGGACTGCCAAGTGAACTAAAGCTGGATAGCGTTCATGAATGGGGAACGAACAAATTCTCCATGCAACCTCGTTGCTGCTTTTGTATCTTCCAGCCTGGTATTGAGATATTTCATCGACAACTCGTACTGCATTGCTGTCCCCATTTTCTGCCTGAACACCAAAAACTGCCATATCGCTGCCTTTATTCACGTACTTGCAGATATATTTAATCGATTTCACGGAATTGCAATATGTATGATTTTGACAATAGTGGTGAGTATGGAACCACCCAACGATTGTCTACCTCAATATCACCAATTCTCATGTTTAAAGTTGCCGAAGTCCCTCCATCTTCAGTTGACCGTCTCCTATACAGAGGATATCCATCGTCCCCTGTTACGGTGTTGGCTGTAAATGCTCGAGGATATCGCTTGGAACACTTCCCGTCTACCATGCATGGTGAACTTCGGTTGAGGGTACCACATGGGCCATGGATCATGTTCTTGATGACAACTGCATGCAAATCTGTATCAACCTCTGCCCGTGGAATCTCAGCGCATATCACATTGTCAATTTCGTCTGCAGTAATTTTATCATACAGCCAAATCAGTATGTGCGCATGCGGCAATCCTCTCTTCTGCCATTCTACTGAATACATCCAGCACCGCTCAGATCCCAAAACTCCATGTTTCACAATGAAATCCATCAGTGACTTGAGCTTTTGTCTAAAAACACGGGCTGTGATGTCATGCCTATCCCTATGTGATTGTCCAGGAAATAACAGCTGAACTATCTCGTCCCAAGCTGGATTGCATGTGAAGGTGATAAATAAGTCTGGACGGCCGTAGCAACGAACATATGCCTGGGCATCTTGAGCATATTCATGCATGTGGCTCGGACTACCTATGTATGAGGATGGCAAAATCGTGAGCTTTCCAACGTTGGTTGTATTACGGTCATTCATCACAGCATCCCGCAAATGGATATATTCCTCGGACCGAAGTTTCTTCTGATTCAATCGGAGGAACAGCAAACGTTGTTTCAATTTTTGCATACATATCGACAATGTACTGATGAAACAACTGACGACATTTCAATATATGATTGCAATCGGTCCTCCGAACCATTAACCTGTATGAGTAAAAGTTCATCGCGCAGCCGCGTCTCTCGGATGGAGGCCCGTTCTTCGTCAGTCATATTCGTAATCTTACGTCTTTTTGCTTCTGTATTGCGAATACGACGACCAAATCTCGACTTCTTTGGTGGCATGACTTCGTTTCTTACTGAACCTGAACAAAAAATAAAATTTGTATCTCCAATTTCTTCTTTCAATATGTTTTTAATGTTTGACAGGAAATGCTTTGATTTGCTTGTAGAGGGCGCAGTAGTAGGGGCACGGGGAAACGCTAAAAAAATAGATATATTCGCAACCGCAGATAAGCTATCAACATCAAAAGTAGTCAATAACCGAGCTGGAACCTCAACGCATCTTCTCTAAAAATTTGGGCATAAACGGTTCAGAACTTTTCAAGTTTCTTCTTTCAATATGTTTTGAATGTTTGACAGGAAATGCTTTGATTCAGCTGGCTGCCTGTAGATGGCGCAGCAGTAGGGGCACTTGGAAACGCTAAAACAATAGATATATTCGCCACCGCAGATAAGCTATCAACGTCAAAAGTAGTCAATAACCGAGCTGGAACCTCAACGCATGTTGTGTAAAAATTTGGGCTTCAACGGTTCAGAACTTTTCGAGTCTATGAAGGATGTAGACACGAACAGAGCATTTTTATATATATAGATAGTCATATTTTGTATACCAAAAATATGCTTGTAGAAGGCGTTCAAACTCAGAACAATATATATAAAATAAATAAATACAAAATAAACATAATAGAATATATATAAACATTTTTAAGCTGATATTAATCTGATGCTTTGATAGGCAGATACAAATTTCGCCAGCTATTCAAGTTTGATTAGTGGGTTTTTAATAAGAGTACATTTAATATTTGTTTTAAATTAAAAAGTACCCACATTTATCCATAAATTAGACACCACTGTGGGCCTATCCCGTCTGCAGCAATCGTGTCGCATGCCATTGAAAATGTGGTGCAGGTGCGGCGCCACTCATGAATGGAAGGCCCAAAACATTGGACATATAAAAATATATATTTATATATGGCATATACATATGTGGCATATGCCAAAAGAAAAGCAAACTCCCAAGCTAGTGAGGGGGCGGATTCCTCCTTCTTCTTCTGCCACCATTAAAGACTTGTAAGTGCCGGCGATAAGATAATTATTTTAATAAATGCATTCGAAATTCTGCTCTGCGGTTGAGCAAAAAAAACAAACGACAACAACAGCAAGTGAAGCAAATAGCCGCAGGTTGCGACCGCACTTGCACCGCGTACAATGTGCCAGGTAATTCAAAACGTTTGCACTGTTGTTCCCATTGTAATATTATTATTATTATTATCATTATTGTGTTGTAGCTGTTATTGCTGTGTAATTACAGTGCACTCCCAGACAACGAATCCACCTCCTCCCACCTCGTTCTCCTCCTCATCATCACTATTCCCCTCGTGAGGCAAATTAGCATCTGGTTAACAAGTGCGCCGCGGTTAAACGGTGAAAATCTATGACTCTTTGCTAGCGCAGCATAATTAGAATCAATTATAATGAATTGGAGCACACAGTGAGTGCCAGATGGGAGTGGACACGAGAACTGGCATATAATAAAGAATTCGATTTATTTTTTAATGGATATTTTGTTGTTTTGGGTTGCATTTTTGAGGAGAAATCACAAATGACATTATATATTTTTAATCAATTTATTTAATGACAGAATGTTGATACTAGCTTTCGAATATCCTAATATTTTCACTAAATTCACATATTTAATCAAATTAATGACTGAAAAACTTTAAATAAACCAACAACAAAATAATGGTAATATTATTTGTTCAAATATTGTTAATAAACCTTTGAATACCTCAAATATTATTCCAACATTCACCACAAATCTGATCAAATATAACAGAAATTTGTTAACTCGAAAAAAAGCAAAAAGAAATATATTACTACTACTAAATACATTTTTTTTTTCCTTTTGGCAACAGGCATCATTAAATTTTCTTCGACGAGACAAACAAATGTGAGGAAAAATGAAAATGATTTTGCGAAAATCTTTTTGGGTTCCTCAATATGTAAACTCGCTTTCATGTGTGTCTGTGTATTGTATGTTTTTCTTGGCTGTTAAAAATAGAAAAATTGTTGTATTTTTCTTATTTAATGCTTTTGCCTGTTGCCGCTTTTCGCTGTTTCTGGCTGTTGGCTGTTGTTCTGGGCATTTTTTCTACTTGTAAATCGTCGGCTTGCATTAGGCATACGTATGTTGTATTTGTTAATATTCGAATTGTTGTTGCGGCGGCGGTGTTGAAACCGCAGAAAGAGAGAGAGAGCGTGCACTAAATACGCAACAAAAACAATAGTTGAGGCGTCTAGAGAACAGCGCTTTACAGTGGGTGGATACAAATTTCTGGATAGAAAATTGACCTTGACTGAAGCAGGAAATTTCTATTAGAATTTCAACTAAAAATATTACCTAAAATTTATTTTCAAACTCTTAATGAATGGAATATACAGTTAAAAGAGACAGTTTTCCTCTGGCATACCATTTTTTGTTGTTTTTATCTTCAAAAATATTCTTTTAAAGACCTATTTGTAGTATTTTTGCTGCTTTTTAATGAATTATATAATATTTATTGCTCATTTTTCTATTGAATATTAATATTTTAAATTATTCAATGGCATAATCCACAGTGCGGACCCACGTCAGCACCACAGTTGGACGCAACAGTGTCGAAATTGCAGCCCCCGAACGCCGCCCCTTGTAATCTCCACCACCCCCTCCTCAGCCTGGTCGCGTGATCGCAATTGCAGCCGACTGACGCAACTTCTGGCCCCCTTCTAAACATATAGAAATAAACGGTCTATTGCCATAGGGGATGTAAAAGGGATGTACACATACATAAGTACATACATAATTAATAGAATGGAAAATACACCTGATGCAGCATGCTTCTTTTTCATTTTGCGTGTGCCGCCACCTTAATCGTTTACAAGAATCAACAATGCACTGTAACTTATTCAAAATTCTTTACAAAATGTATATATTTTTAAAGTTAAGTATCCATAACTAAAATTATAATATCCTGGATGGGATTAAAATAAAATAACTGCCGGTTATTCTTAGCCAAAATGCAAAAGTAAACCAGTTTTAATTAAAAGGTAAGGTTAATATTTGCCTTTATCTTGAAAAAGAATCAATTATACAAATTGTTAGGTATTAAATGTATGACAAATCCAAATTGTCTATTTATAATGTAATTTGTATGTATTTATCAAGTTTAAATAACTTCAAAGATTGATATTATTGTTTTATATTCAATTATGCTCATAAATTCATAAATAATTGGCAAAGCAAACAGTTTTTTCAGTCGATCCTGACTTTAATAGTTTAATAAATTCTTTAATAAAATAATAGACTCATAGTAAAGCGCTTTTCCCAAACAAAATATTAAAGAATCTCCTTTTCAAATCAACTTTTACCAATCAACTATTAAAGATCTAATTTCTAAAATATAAAAAATCCTCGCAAAAATATCTAAAAAACTGATATAAATCACAAAAGCAAAGTTCACAAAGAAAACTCACCTGATGCAGAGCGGTGAGACCATCCACATTGGCCGTGTTAATGTCGGCGCCCTGATCGAGCAGCTGTATGACCTCATCCTTGTCGCCGGATAGGCAGGCGGCCAGGAAGACGCAGCCGGAGCTAAACTTGATCCTACGGCCGTGCTCGTGGCGGGGCGTGGGAGCGGCGCGGTTGGTGTCGGACTCCTCCCAGCGTTTAAGCTGCTCCGCCCGCTTCATCACCGCCGAGTTGCTGCGCGCGTCCAGCGAAGACATCTCGAAGGATCTCGATCTCGATTTGGATTTTGATCACTTTTTCCGTAGAATTGAGGCGGCGATGGGAGTAACGCGCCGTTGCGTACACGTACTCCTTGCTGCTCGCTTTCTTGTTATTGTAACTGCGATTGCGCTTTTTTCTTTATATTTTCTTGGTTGTTTTGTTGTTTCCACTGGGAATTGGATTTGATTTTGCACTATTTATAGAAAATGCTTCACACTTTCGATTTTCGATCACAACTATACACTTGTGTTTGTACTGCCGCTGCTTCTTCTCCTGCTTGCTGATTATTATTATTTTTCGATATTTATTTTTCTATTTTTCCCACTCTGCGTGCGTGTGCATGTGTGCGTGCGTTTTATCAGCCAACTTCTTGGTGTTCCTTTCCCACTCACTCACACAGAGGCGAAAATCGCGCTCTCTCGTTTTGTTGCCGTTTCAACGCGCACCTTTTTTTAGTTGCAATAACAATAAATAATTGCTCTAAAGTTGGAGCGAGAAAGAGAGAAGAGGCACGGAGTTGTATACGGTATAACGGAGCTTCTTTACGAATAGAGTAAACTAAAACAGTAGCTAAAACATTTAAGAAATACTTGGTTAGTTTAAACTTGTTGGTTGGCTTGTTTTTTCACTTTGTTTATCATCCGCGGCCTGCCTCGCTCTCTCTCCCTCTTGCTCGCTCACACACACCCGTGCACGGCTTGCATACGCCGTATATGTGTGTGTGTTACCAATTTGACATAAATTCAACAGCCGCGACGAGCAAATAGAACGAAAATGGGTGCCGCGAGCTTTTTCCACGCACAAATCCCGTTGCTGGCGTAATTTTATGTAATTCTAGTGCCCCAAAACCTCCGAATCGCCGTGTAATTATGTAAAGGCATTTTCCACATCACACACACACACAAGCGCGTACTTGCACACGCACGTAGAGAAAATTGCAGCAGAAACTTTTCACAACGCGCAAGAACCGAAGAAAACGCACCTTTCCCCGCAATTCCCGTGCTCGGGGGCTCTCGCGTGGCTCGGTGGTGCGGCGCTCCTCTTTTTCCAATTTTTTAATTTGTTTTGGTCGCGGCTGCTATTATTTATAATTTTTGTGTGGCCGATTTTCGATTTTTTTGGCTTGTTGATCTTTTTGCGCTGGTCACTCTGAAATTCGGAGCTGTTAGTTAACATTTTACATCTTAAGCGTCCGGAAAGCCCTTCTACACGTTTACAGATGCATTGGGTCAATTTCTTATTTTTAGGGTAGAATTCTCATGTAGGAGGTAGAATTTCTATGTAGGAAGTACAATTCATTAACAGATTCGCTCTCTTCTCTTTCGTTGGCTCTCGGGTGGTTGTTAAGAGAATTTTCTTTCGTTGGCTGTCGGGTGTCAGATCGATTTTGGTTGTTTAAAATATATCCAAATACCACTATATTAAAAAAATGTTTATGGTTTATTTTTATGTTGTGTTTCTGGTCACTCTGAATTCTGTAATTCAGAATTAACACTTCACATTTTACACGTTTACAGATACATGAAGAATTATAATGTAGAAATTAAAATTAATTAACAGAATGAGCGTAAATTATATCGATATATCGAGATTTAGTTTGCGCAAATATCGATTTTGCGACAAGGGTATTTTTTATGGCCATATGCTGGTCACACAAACTTAACAGAGCTAACAGAATTTTACACATTTACTGATACTTGGGTAGAAATCTCAATACGTATTGAAACAACGTAACGTAAGTATAATGTGGTCTTACCTAACGTAAGATACATCGATGTTGTAATTTACTTTTAAATATTTTGTTTGAAAACATTCGAAAATATGGATACCTGTGAACATGTTGATTAACCTGCAAGTTCATCATTGATTGACCGGATATACCTTCATGAGCCGATTTTTCTTATAACGTTGGTCAGCCACTCGTGAATGTATAGAAAAGTCAGAAATAATGTGTGATTTTGTTTTCTATTCATTGAAAGTATTACCAATGTCCGTTGAATTTTAAATGCTAGATTTTAGTCTTATTATGGAAATCTCTACGTTATTCTGGCCGCCATTTAAAATTTGAATAGACAACGTAAACTTGAGTAAGAAAATTTTAATACCAAAAACAGTGTGACCACAAAGATTGTAATAATTGGAGTGTGGTAGCACTGTTTAGATCGGGATTGTAACGTGAGACTCACAGTTGTAACGGTTTTGTTGCAGTTTTCTTAATTTGAATTGCTCTCAAACCAAAAAAACGTGGAATAGAATACTTATTTGAACTAGTGAATACAAAGAGTAATACAGTTTATTCGTGTTCATGAAAGTAATATCAAGAGAGCGCAAGATCAAGCGACCGGAACCCACCCCCAAAAAAGAATTGCGCATCACTTTGGCGGCAAAAAAAACTATTTCGCCCGTTCCGCCCCGCTTGCCACTAAATCTCTTTCTCTCTCTACAGCTCTCACCCTCCAATTCTCTCTCTCTCTCTATCTTGTGTGGAAAGCCAAGCAAAACAAAACAAATGAGAACGCAAAAGCGACAAAAACAAAAAACAAATACGAATTGCAAATACCTATAGGAAAGTAGGCTAGGCGCCGCTATAAAATAGTTTTTCTGTAGTCGCAATCAGACACTCCAACACACCGGTCGTCGCTTGAACGCCAAGCAATAAGAATAATTATTATAATCTGTGCATTCGCGCAAAAAAACGTCAAGTGAAACACAGCCCTGAAACTATTATCTTATCGTGCTAAAAGTACGAAACAAACAGAAAACAATTAGCTGCTTTCGAGGTCAAAATAACAAATAACCTATGAGAACTTGATAAGATATTGGGACAGGGCAAAATGTCACCGGTAAGTGTTATTTATTAATATATATACAAAGTAATAAGCAGGGAGAAATGATTTTAAAAGAAAATCTATTTTACAACCAAAAGAGTTTCAGGCTTTACAATTTATTGCATACAATTAGGCGCTGCCTCTCTCAATCTCCTTCTGCCACCCCTTCTCCCTTTGTTTTGCTTCTCTTCATTCATGTCCTCTCACACCCTTTGCATCTAGCATTTTCCAGTTATTTCGAAACTGTATGCAATCTCTGCTCTCTCTTTTTCTCTCTCTCTGTGTCTTGTGACCCACCACCCCTGACACCTAGGCATCCTTGTCTAGCACACACGTAAGCACATGATAAAAAGGGAATGGCAGATATTATCTTACATTGCATGTAATGTGCTGCAGTTTTTGTTGTTGTTGTTGTTACCTTTTATCTTTGCCGATTCTGAGCTCACTCGCCTCGCATTTCATTCATGATGAAACCAGCCCAACCCCACCCGCCCACTGATGAAACCACCCCACCCACACAGACACGGCTAGAATTTTCCTATTTTTAATTACCGCTCAATGTCATTTCCATTTACAGCGCTGCGTAGGTTCCAAAAGATTGATGGGTCTTTCTCCTATATAATCAGCAGCTTACCTCATTTCATTTAGCTAGTTGCATTTCATAGTGCGCGTTGCGTCACTACCTGCTAAATATAAACAAAATACAATGAAATATTATTCACGAAAAGCTGGGTGAAAAGTACTTCCGGTTAGGTGACGTATTGGCGCCTCTTCTTTGTGAATGGGCATGCAGCCATGGTCCTTAAAACACCTGTCATACCAAAGCCGTAATCTGTTCTTGGTAACACAATTGACTAATTACTTTTTCAAAGGCTTATTCATAAAGATTGTAGACAGTTTACGCAAGTGTGTAAAGAACAAGTACAATATTTGCAGTTTAAAACACACAGGAAATATTATACCACGAACGTAATTTTTAGATACCACAAAATGTGGTAAGGTTCTTTTGTACTGTTTATAATATTTTATGGCATACTTTTGGACTCAATTTAAATTGATTTAAAATATACAGTCATTTCTTAAATTCATCTTCTATTTGAATATATATTTTAATAATATTCAAAGTAAACTGAGATTGTGATAAGCGGATAATATTCTTAAAAAAATAAAAAATAATTGTTATTGCTATAACATTTTCTTTCTGTGCATTAAAGAAAGACATTTTCTAACAAAATGCTATTGTATCAAGGAATTACGTCAGTGAATTTTACTGATAAGATGAGTAAAGTACAATGAACATTTGGACTTTACAGTGACCCTATAAAAATTTCATATTAATTTGATTTGGGGTTCACCTACATTTTTATAGTACTTTTATATTATATATATAAAGAATATATAAGGAATTATATAAGTTAATCTAAAGAAGATTGTGTAGTTAAACCAATAAACTTAAATTGCACTCTTTAGGGTTCTAAGAATTGTTCTGGAATAGATAGATTTCACACTTACATGATTTACTGCTGTTATAAAGCAAAGCTGTAAAATTTTGAACTGCTTGCTTACATACAGTGTATTACGTGTTTTAACATCCAATAAGAAACCCAACTGGAAGTAATTTTAAAGGAATATATGCATATTTATATAAATATAAACTCTAAACTAAATAATTTGGTTCTCTAAATTATTAATTTTTCAAAGTGTTTCAATTTTAACTCAAGTAGTGATTAAAAATCCATCAGATTTTTTTATGTATAAAATAATTGCTTAACCAATATGGAATTTATGAATGTGCTTATTTGTCAAAACGTGTTTTAAATTTTAAGATGCATTGCCTTGCGTATTCATGACTAAACTCCACTCGATCATCTTTAAATTTAAATTAGTAACACTGCCTTCTCTTTACTAAGACATCTTTTAGCTTAAACTAATCTCCATTCAGAGATTCAGCTAGTGGAAACCGATAACTCATGAGGCTTCTCTAGCCGGCAGGACACCTTACGCATCCCCCGAAAATATTGTCGGTGGTTTGAGAGACTCAACAAAGGATCGCTGATCGCTGGCAGCTGGCAACGTCATGTGCCGCGCGATCCTTTCACAATAAGGATATATAGGGGTCTGGTTCCATGACCAGCAGCTGTTGCTGGCTTCGTTTTCGGTGATCCTGTGATCGGTTTATTGTTGGCTGCCTCGCTTGCAGCTGCCGGCACACGTCTCCTACCAATTGTCGATCCAGTTTATAAGCCCTGATTGAGGCAGGTAGAGTTCGGTGCATTCATAATGATATATTTTCCAGACAAAGGGACCGACCCACCGACAGCTAGCACATGTCGTAATGGGTAATAGGGTAATCGAATCGTGCCCGTGCCCAGATCGTTGTTATGACACCTTTTCCTTTTGGCCAATTGCCGCACCAAAGAAGCGAATGCAAAAATGGTAAAAACAGGTTTTTAGACCGCTGCCTCTAGCTGCATTTGGCTGTCAATTAAAAAAAACCACAGACAAAAGTTAGTAACAAGCAAAGTACGAAAATTACAGGGAAACTTCTAAAAGACGAAAATGTAGAAGAAATAAATATTATAGATAAAGCTAGGTACTATTAATTGAACGTTAGCTTAAGTTTTAGACAAGTTTGTTAATACAGTCTCTTTAGTTTTCATCACAAAATGTCTTTAGTAAGCTTGACTTAAAAGTCTAGAAAATTACATTTTCTAAAATTATATTATTTATATAAAAATTAAACAAAAACTAGTGGTTTCAATGCACTTTTAGTCTTCCACTTCGACATCTTTTTGTTTTATTATTTGATTTAGAAAAGACTTGAATAGGCTATTAAGGTCTTTTTTAGGTAGTTAGTACTGTGGATAAATTAAATACTGGTGAGCAATCAAAATCACAATAAAAAGCAATAAGAACGAGGCGGGTGCAACAACTTTAAAAGGCCTTGCAAGGCCGTTCAGCTCTGACGCCCGAGTTTGTTTTTATTTTTTTGTGCAGCTCAAAACTGGCAAACTTGTCCGGTAACTTGAGATCTCTCGGATCCGATCCAATCCGTTGCCAACTCCGTGTGGTCAGCGGAGTGATCTTTTGAAACAGAAAAATGAATTGCCAGAGGCAATTCAGCCAGCAAACATCCGCAAATAGAATATATTGCCGCCACATTTTACTCAGTTGTTTAATTTGCAGCAACCGCCTGCAAATAATGTCGCCTTGCAACATGTCAAAGTCGTCTAGACTCTGCATTTATAGGCAAATTTCTCAAATGCGTCGCGACATCTTCGTGGTAAATTTAGCATTGTGTATTTATAAAAATTATAAAAGTTCAACCCGTTAGCGGGCGGGCGGCTATATACCCATGTCGCGCACTGTGTCCACAGGCGGCCAGGCCGCTGCTTACTTGCCATAAATGATTCAAACTTGGCAATCTTTTGTATCCCCAATAGTATTCGAACGTGTCGGTATTTCCCTTGCCATTATTTATAAAATATATATAAAACTTGGGGGAGTCATTGCAATGGGTGCTTAATTAGAAAAGCATGTAGAACTTTAGTAACAAATATTTAATCATCAACCTTTTGTAGATAGCAAAGGGAATTAATGTTTTAAAAACAAAAGGTGAGTCACTCCTTTAAAAAGTATACATTTTAATTAAATGTATAACTCCGGAAATATGGCAAATACTTAATTTATAGACCATGCTTTTATTTAAAGAACAAGGTGTACATACGTGCTGATTTCATTTTAGATTGTCACTTCAAATACCTTAATCTAACAATAAACAAAGAAAATAATTCTTATTTCTGATTATAAATATTTGTAAACTGTCCGAAAGATAATATTCTGTACAATCTAAGACAAATCGAGTATCAAGTTATTATTTGGAATCTTTCGGTTTGGAAAAATTTAAACAAAATAATTATTTAGGCAAACAATTAGAAGAAAATGTTCCCAATAAGTTTAAACATATACATATGTATTTCATATTTTATATTTATTTATCTATTAACAATTGTTTGCTAATTTATAACAAACTAGGATAGATATTGTTTGAAAAAAGGGGACTTCGGAGGTACATATTTGTGTTTTATATATGTATATACATATGTATATTAAATAATATTCTTGCTTAGTTGCTTATTATTTTTTAAAAATATTTTGTAAATAGAAATTGCATTTTTGAACATTAATAAATAAAATAATTTGGCATACGATTAATGAAAAATCAACTATCAGGTTATTTATTTTATGTCATCTGCTCTTGACAACCACAAATGCCCGTCTTAAAAAAGAAAAAGATTCTTATCAACCATTCCTGATAAGAGCCTTCAGGATATTTCCAGCTGCCTCACGAAAATTAAAGAAGAGACAGGTAAAACGAAAACGAGAAAGTAGGAGGGTGGAAGTGGAATGAGGTGCAAACAAAACAACAACAAGAACTGCAGCTGCTGTCTGCTCTCTCTCTCTTCTCTCGCAACGTCTGGAAGTTTTCGGGAGGCAGAGAGGGAGCGAGAGAAAGCACCAAAATACGGTGCATTGACACGCGCTCTCGCAGAAACATAAAAATCAATGATCCTGGCTGCTGTGTCTGTAGGTGCGAGAGAGATGACAGTATGGTCGGCGGTTGTACGGTTATTACGGGTTTGCGTACTAATACTAGCCGTAGTACAACAAAACTTAGTCCCCACTTACAATTAAAAACTTTTAAAGTTAAATTCTGAAAAGTGACTAAATGGTACTTGTCGTTGCCTTCACAGGCCAAATGGGTATTTGTTTTATTGCCACGAAGGTTTTTCCAAAAACTACAGCTGCTGATATGAAGAATGAGCATTCGCTTGAAAATGCATTCAAAACCACCTCTCTCACTCTAACCACAAATGCAGGGTAGTTTGTCTCTCTCCTTGACAGTGTTGTCAGAAATAGCTGCAAGAAGGCGTAAAAATAGTTAGAAAAATCAGGATTATAATATATTTTAGAAATTTTTGACTTGTAAAAATACATTTTAAAGTTAACAGCTGTTAATATTCTGCATTTACTTAGAAATTCATTTTTATATTAATTAAGCCCAGAAAAAGAAAAATCAAATATTCAATAATAATCATATTAAAATAGCAAAGACATTTAAAAATAGCCAAGTACATGCGCACCCAGAAAAAGTAAGCAAATGGCTGTTTTCTCACCACTGTCGAGAGAGCCGAAGGGGCTTCGGCAGCGTTCGTCTTGTCTGGTCGTTTCAGTTGGAAGTAGCAACTCGGCAATGGATTTACTCAACTGAGAGTGTCTCGAATAATAATATAAACACAAAATTACTGCATTTAAACTAGAATAAAGTACAAAAATAAAGTATTTGACGGCATAAATTGTGATAGTTGGCTCTGTATTTGCTGACAACGACAGAGAACGAAAGCGATAACGGAACAGAAGACAGAATACAGAGAACGTGCTATATTTGTGACTTTGTTGTGTTTTTCCGTCCAATTTTTCCACGGAAAATCAATAGTGAGTGTGAAGGCGCATTTATACGATATTGACGAGTATCGGAACCAAGGGAAACTTGAGTTTTTCAACAAAAAGAGAAAAGCCGTCAAGGTGAGCTAAAGTCTTCAGTATATAGTGTAGTATTTTGTATACATCAAGGCGATTTTAACCCCAAAAAGTAATGAAAACGTGACATCAGAAGTCCGTAAGCTGAAGTATATTTTTATTTGCTTTTGCTGTACGTTCACTCGCACACACACTCTGAAAGAAAACCACACAAGCGCAAGGCGGCTATCGCTAAAATCCACACGACAGTTTTGTCTCATGCGCTTTGGTTTCCAGAAAGTAGTTGTTTACGTGAAGACTACTCGGTTTATGAATAGTAGAATATAAACAATAGACTATGAGAGCTTTAATTAGTAAACAATAGGCAAAAGCTTTTACTTGTACTGCTGCCTTCTTCGAAAACGTTTTCTTCGCTTTTGTAGGGTTGACCATTTTGTTTTGTGTTCCCGTTTCGTTCGTTTTTTATCCCGCTCGCACTTCAACGACCACACCGATGAGAGATTGTTTCATAAAAACATGGCGACCGTAGAGTTGCTAAATACTTGCGCTCTTGTTTTACTCACAATTATTTACAAATTTACCAAAGTTTGTTTACAAAACGAGCTTTCTGAAATTTTTAAATGACTAAATATAAATTTAAGTGACACACGATTGTTTGCACAGTTTTTCTGGCCACTGAAACGCAAAACTTTCCGCCATATGGTAACCCTCTTTTTTCGCTTTTGAGTGTGATTTCATACAAATTCCACACACCCCGCAATTCCCCAACGATCATCATCATCGTAATCATTATAGTCGCTCGATGCTGTTTAAAAACAACATTCTCAATTGGGCACAATGTGGATGGAAGAAGAGGAAGCAAAAGGGGCGGTTATATTGTACAATACAATGCCATCAATTTTCTGTATTCAACCGAATTTCGGGCTACGCAATACATACTGGCTGTTTTCGTCTACAATTCGTATAAATTTAAGCGATGACTATAGCATGCAAAATATACCAGTTTACCCAATTTTTAGCATCCCAGAAGGTCACGCTATGTGTCATCATTCATCAGTATAGAATTCTATACTGTTCTAATTAAGTTTAATTTGTTTGTGTGTTTTGTTCCACATACTCAGATAAATTATTCACACTACTGATGATAATGTGAGACAATCGATCTTTTTTTTTATCGCAGATGTTATTTTATTTTGTAAAATTGAAACCTTATTTTTTTCCTGTGCATTGAAATAAACAGATGACGCGTCAGCTTGCTGAGTATAAAATACACATAAATATGAATTTACTCCATACGCTGAGCGATATACGATTACTCTGTGTGTAAGGCACTTCCTCTTTTACGCACACACTCGCTGGGCATAATCCGAACCCAGCCCAAGCACACCACCACCACCACCAACGATTCCGGAGTCCGGACCACGGAGCATTAGCTTCTTTGTCTGGCACATCCGCTGCCAACGGAAGTGGTGCACTCATGCGTGTTTTCCACTCTGCAGGAAAAGAGCACAGAAAAAGATGCGAAGAATAATGTTGGAAGCCATGGAGAAACCATGAAAACAACAAAAACCAAAAAGAGACGGGCTCAAAAAACCGTTTCTGAGCTGTTGCCAATTTTCACGACACTATGCTGCTTTTTTCACGCCGATTGCAGTTTTCATTTTGTGCCGCTTTTTATGCTTCATTGCTTTGAACTTTTGCGTTCATTTTGCGCCGAACAAAGAGAAAGTCGCGCCAGTCTCAAAGTCTCTTCAACTTCTCAACTTGCTCAATTTCTCAATCGAGTTGAATCGAGCTGAGCTTCGGTGGAGAGACTTTTACAGTGGGACTTTTATAAAGATACCAGCAAAGTTGAGATCTTAAATTGAAAAAATCATATTTATGAAACTTTAAATCCTTAAACTTAAATTAAAGTAACTTTTAGAAAATATAAAGATTTTATCTTAGGCATTATAGAGATCATTTTAAAAAATAGCTGTGTTATCCCATAATAATAAAATATAATCAAATGGTATTACCCGAATTTAAGCTTTGTAAGTTACCCTGTACTTTTTTCAAAGGCAACGAACTTTTGGTGTGGAACCACTTTTCCGATTATAGCCGCACCCACGCAGCATCATCATCATTATCATCGACGGCGGTGGTCCCTGTGCCCACATCTTCTCCAACTCCAACTCCAACTCCCACGAATCCACGAATCGGATCCAGACGGATCGAGACAATTCCTTAATAAAACGATAGATAAGGTGCTTAATACACAACAAACAGTTCTCACGTACGCACGCACAGTGGGAAGAATTTTCTGGACTCGAAATAGAATGGATCTATTGTCTCTCCCCCCCTTCGAGAACACTCGCATTTGTTATCGCCAGCAGACGCGACGGCCATCAGCGCAGATCTCAGATCGGATGAATGGAAATGGACCACGGCGGCCCTTGAAAGAGGAAGAGGGGCAGGCGAACAAGAGGCAGCATAAGATGAAGAAAATTACGATTCGGAATTCCCGGAATTTTCTTAGCTCCCAAGCTGAATCATCTCATCTCATTCCCATTCCCATTCCCCTTTCCATTCCATCTCTCGCCTCCGCCGACCTTTGAGCCTGGGCCGCGTGAAAAACGACCTTTCAACCATTATTTCCACTAACGAGGCCCCCGCCTCTCGATCTACAAGAACACTCTGCTGGTTTTTCCCTGGGATCGTGTCCACATTCCAAGTCCCATGGAGATGCTGCGAAGATAAATGCATTGCCCTCTCGCTTGCACACGACTTGACTTTGGGTTTGAGAGCAATTTTCCTTTGGTTTTCCTGGAACAAGAAAATGCTGGCGGCGTCGGCGGCTCTAGAACTTTGAACTAAGCCGCCGTTAGGTTTTTGGACAATCGATCAATGTTCAATGGATAAGAGGGAGAAGTAGGAGAGTTGAGCTACAGAGAGAGAAAATTGTATATGATAGTAATGACATATTTGAGGAGTTTTCTTTATGCAAAATGTAGGTATTAACTTAATAATTTTGTTATTAATGAAATCATGATAAAAGGTTACATTTACTAAAATTTGACAATTTTTGCTTGAGTTATTAGAATTCATAATAATTCTTTAAATCTAATAATAGGTTAAATATTGCAGAAAATATTTAAAAAATATGTAGATTTTTATTATATTAAATGACTGGAATTTTTTTCCCCTGTATGTGTTAAGCTGATCTTAATGCATTCCTTGGCAGTTCAGCAGCCTGGGGATCCGGGGCGCATTTATTATGATTACAATATTGCCCTTTGTTGGCCAGCATCTCAGAATTGTTCGTCTTGTTTTTGTTGTTATTCCATCTCTGTTTTTTTTTTTTTTTTTTTTTTTTTTCAGTTTTTCTGTTTTCTTCTCGTATTATCGACGTCGGCGGTCGTTTTGTGTGCTGCATTTCTTGGAAGGCCACAACACACGCACACTCTTTCGATCGGTATACGCACATAAAGATGCTGTGGAGAAAAGCATGCAAGAATGTTCTTTGTGTGCGTGTTTGCTGTTGTTGTTGTTGTTGTTGTTGCATTTATTTATTTTTCTGCATCCTCCGGCATGGGTCTTCTTCTTCATCATCTTCATCTGAACACGATGACGACTCATGCCGAGAGGGATATCATCTATCTCGTTCTGTTCTCCCCTCTTGGATGTTCTCCGTCTCCCTTTCTGTTGGGTTATGTTCCCCTCTTTTTAACTCTAGCTTGTTGTAGTTGTCGTATCTGGTATCACCGCATTCCAATCTCGGTGTTTTTTTTTTTTATTTTTGGTTGAAGCCAGCAACAACAACAAAAAGAATGGTAAAGTTTTTATAATAGTTTCCCACAGTCGAGCTCATGTCTTCGGGGCTCCCAAGGTATAACCCAAAACAGACGGGGCTGAAGTTATAGTACTCTTAACATATTGGATTTTTAGTTATGGAATATTCTGAAATTTAATACCTTATTTTGTCAAGGAATAATAAACTCAATATTTAGTTGAAGAATATTCTGGGGTTCTGGTATTCAATGCCTCATGTTATCAAGGACTAATCCTGTAAATTACTATGGATTGTTCTGAAACTTTATAGGATTATGCATTATGTTATTATTTAGCTTGGTATCAAATTGTATACAGTTTACTTTAAGAACAGCTGAGATATAAGAAGGAAATATAAGAAGAAACCAAACATTCATTTTTCATAATAACAAAAGTAAACATAAGCAAAATAACTCATACTTTTGCTTAAAAATAAATAAAAATTTTTATTTTATCGAATCATTGTGCGATTCCCAAGTCCTATTATTTTGCCCTTATCTGTTGTTACAGAACGCAGACCTTTTCCACAGCTTTGGACCTCTGCGGTTACCTTCACTTACTACAACGATAGCAACGAGAGCTTGGCAAAGCAGAAACCCCCAGCTTTACTTACAGACTGGGATTGGAGTGGCCTGGCCTGGCCTGGCTCGGCTTATTCCAATCAGAAAACTCGAAAGGCAGCTCCAACTTGGACTCCCAACCAACTCCAGTTTGATTTTCTGTGGCGGAGTTTTTATAGAAAAGTTGCCCGACTGCATTCCATCTGAGGTTCGTTCGTTTTGGTCTTGTCTTTCGTGCTCGTTTGTTCTTCTGTTTTTCTGTTTGTTGCCTTGCCCAGCCTTTGATTATGATTTTCTTTCGGTTGTGTGTTGTTGTGTCTGGCGGTTGTGTGTGGTGGCATTTTCCTCTGCTCTTGGGGATTGTTGTTCCCATGCCCATGCCTATATACCTAGGCCCATGCCCGTGCCCGTGCCATTCATGAGCCGCCCAGGAGGCCTTGTCTTTTCAGTTGGTATTCGGTTGGTGTTGGGTGCAGAGCGCCTGCTCTCGGTTTGTCGTAGTGTTGTCCGATTTCCATTAATTTATTTAATTAACAAAAAGTGCATCCAAGTTTGTTGTATTTTGAACGAACCTAGGTAAGTGTAAAAAAGGAAATGGGAATGCAAATATCTGGCTTTTGAACTTTTCCCTGAATTTCCTGATAGCCCCGCCAAATTCCTAGAGTCTGGTATGCATTACAATTGTTAATGGGTTGGCATTCCACAATAACAAATAACAGACGTCGGCAGAGGCAGCTGTAATTGCACTTTGTGCTGCCTAGAAAAAGCAAAACAAACGATAATGATACTTTAGTCAAGGAGACCGAAGTTCTGAATACCCTACTTGAGAAATTGTTCCAATAGATTGATCTGAAACTCGGAGGGATCATAAGTAAAGCTATTATTTGTATATATAGCAAAATATGAGTAGTTAACTTATAATATAACAATGATATTTGTGTTTTAAGCTGTGAGCATTGATCTTGCAAGTGATCATGATCGTTTCTCTGAGGCTTGTTAATTAAAGGGAAAAATCAAAGTATGTTAAAGTAAATCGTATAAACTTTTTACTAAGCAAGTTTCCAAGCATCTACTTTAAATATCTTTGGAATGTTGCTATTGTATTCAATACATTTTCTAAGACTGTCTTTGAAATGCAAATTCTTTTGTAGTATCTGTTATGGTAAAATTACAATACCCCTTTAAAGGGTGTACAAATTGCAATTACAATTGCAGCCATAGCAGAGAGACAGCATCTCTCAAGTCTGCTCCACTTCAAAAACAATGCGCAATCTCTGCCCAGAAACGGAGCCACATCTTTAGCATCCTCCTCCTCCTCACCCCGATCCCTATCCCGATCCAAGTCAGAAGTCAGCATTTGTAATTTACAATTGCTTTTGTTTTGCGCTGCACTTTATATGTACTATGTATATACTCTGCACTCTTTTGCCCTGCTCTGCGCCGTGTTGTTTTCCCTGTGGTTAGTTGTTTTTCCCATTGATGGTTTCTGATGGTCTCTGCACAACATGGCCGTCCCATTCGCACTCCCAGCTGGCTCCGTATGGCGAATGCATTTATGCTGCGCTTTATGCTGCAAGTCCGGGCTCCATTGGAGCTCGGTGGTGTGGTAGTGACGTGCTCCGAGTGCGCCGTCGCCAGAGTGGTTTGACTGCATTCCATTAAAACTTTCTCACAGTCGGCTAGCGCTTGGAGTGCTCCATCCACAGTGCATGGCACTGCCAGGCCAGGCCAGGCAACCCAGGCAACCCACCGATAGCCCCGCTAGCACCATCATTCCCAACATCATCATCATTGCCCCCACTGCCGCCGCCCCACGATCCGTTGCAATTGTTTGGCGAGTTTGGCTGGTTTGCGGTTGAAATTTGGACTTTGAACGGTGGCCCAAGTCAGCGGTCGTGCTCAGTTTTTTTTGCCGTTTTCGGTTTTTTCTGTTTTGTTTGCTGGTGGCCCAGGCGCGTAAATGTCGAGGAACGGCTGTACAATCTCTTTGTAGGCGACCACCGCAGATACAGTTTTTGAGCCTCGAAGCAGCGGTTGATTATTCATCGATAAATATCGATGTTAGTATTTTTTTCTAAAATTTTTTATGGCATACTCAGGGAATGTAATAAAGTAAAGTGAATTCATTTTGATTTTTTTTACCATATGTCAACGATTTATTAAAGCTTGCTCAGCGATAAACAATCTTAGCCCTATTGACGGTATTAACCGATAACTTATCGAGTGTTTTTCTACGCTCTGGAATTTTATCAATAAAAAAATATAGATAACATTCGATAGAGTTACGTAGAAAATTTCTTTGATTAAAAAGGAAATTGTGCTATCGATTTATCAACCATATTTCGATTATATCTTAACTGATTTCGATAAACATGCAAAACTGTTGTAATTAAATGCATTTGCAATTAAACGGTAGCCTTATTTCCGTTATATTTACACTGTGTATAGAGAACACATAAAGATCTGGATGGACTTCCTGTCATTACTATAATTGCCATCGCAAAGACCGACCGACCGACGAGCAAATTGGAATCGCCATGTGGGCATGACTCTCGATTAGCATACTGATTTATCTATTGCCGCTTTTGGCGACAATACCTGTTTTTTTTTTGCAATTGTCATTTATAATTATTTGCCGCAGTGGTGAGTCAGATCGAGAGTAGTTATCTCTCGTCTAGTTGGCGCCACCACCGCCACCCATTCATCCACCCACTCGGACGCTCGTGCCTGGTGCCTGGTGCCTGGTGCCTGGTGGTGCTGGGTGCACATGAAATACTCACTGCGATTCGGCGCACTATAGAAACGAGTGGTTGTAACGTTGCGTACTCTATCCATGACGTACTCTATGAACTTTTTTTTTGTTATTATTGTTGTCGCTACTCGGAAATGGAAAAACCACCCTTGGCGTCGGGGTAAAGTCCTGGTGCGAAAGGGACAAATAGCTGTTGGGCTAAAGGACTCTTAAAGTTCGTTGATGCTGCATCTCCAGTTTCTTGAACTGCGTTTCAGTTTTTTCCCTGCTGCATTGTACATACACACTCTGAAAAACGTAGACGTGCGAGGAAAAGTCTGGACTTGGTCTAGGAAAAACAGAAAAATTTTCAAAAATTTACTTAACAAATGAAAGGTATTTATAATCAGTCGGCAGTAAAGTGATTGAGTGAATTTAAAGCTAAATAAGCCTTTGTGAAAAGATAATACAATCTAGAAATGCATAATTTAAGAATTAAGTCACTGCTAAAATGGTTTCCTACATTTTTTTCTTGGAATAAATGTCGGTCGAATCATCATAGATTAATTGTTGTTCTAGGAAGTTATAATAGATTTTAAAGAGTAAATGTCAGAGAAAAAATTAATAACAATTGCAAGTTGATTTCTCAATTGAATGATAATAATTATAATTTTGTTGATTCATTATTCAATTGCAAATTCATTCAATTCCTGAATCAAATACACCCTATTGACGTAGCGAGTAGATAGATACCCTCGACGACTTTTTCAATAATTTTATAGGAACGAACGTATCAGAGTTCGCTTTTAGTTGTTGGAAATCACTTGACGGCGCTGTGCCAGAGGAGTAGAGCTTTCCAGACGGGAGCAGCATTCAGTGGGGGTGGTGTTGTACATAGAACCCCTTTAAATAAAGTACCTTATCGTGAAGATAGCGCCTATCTGACAGGTGGAGCTGAAAAACAATAAAAAAATTTTTAAATTAACGAGTTTACTTTTCATTCTTTCATTTCAGTTTCGAGTGCCAAGGAGAGCAGCATACGGAGGGGCATTTAACAAGGATAAAGAATCGAGCAAAGATAACAAGCAACGTCTGGCAACATGGCAAATCTGATGACCAGTCCGCGTTACCACACGGAACCCTTAGCTCTGGACCCAATAGTACTCGATCAGGTGGACAACAATACGAACACAACGCAGCTTTTTAAGAACAATTTCAATAACATCATGAACGATCTAAATCGCGAGGAGGCGCGCCTGAAAACCTTCGTCAACTGGCCGCTCGAGTGGCTGGATAAGCACGAATTGGCACAGACGGGAATGTTCTACACAAAAGTCGGCGACAAGGTTAAGTGCTACTTTTGTGGCGTCGAAATCGGATGCTGGGAGCAGGAAGATCAACCGGTACCGGAGCATCAGAGATGGTCGCCCAACTGCCCGCTGCTGCGGCGTCGCACCACCAACAATGTGCCGTTGAGCGGGGAGGATCTGGATCGCGTCCTGCCACCAATCAGCTACGATATCTGCGGTGCCAACGACTCGTCGTCGGCGGTGGAGCTGAGGGAGCATGCCTATGCCGAGGGACGGATACCCAGGTCGCAAATAATTCAGTCGATTGGCGTGAACCCAATGGTACCTTCGATGCCGTCGATGCTTCGTGCCGACGCCACTATCACGTCAATGGCATCGGCGGCCACACAGGCCAATGGCGATGTCCAGCCGGAGACGTGTCGCGCCCCAGCCGCCAGCGGCAACTACTTCCCCGAGTACCCAGAATTTGCCGTAGAATCGGCTCGCCTGCGCACCTTCGAGGCGTGGCCAAGGAACCTGAAACAGAAGCCCCACCAACTGGCCGAGGCGGGTTTTTTTTATACGGGCGTTGGGGATCGCGTCCGCTGCTTCAGCTGCGGCGGTGGTCTCAAAGATTGGGACGACAACGACGAGCCCTGGGAGGAGCACGCCCGTTGGTTGAGCCAATGCCGGTTCGTAAAGCTGATGAAGGGACAAGTGTATATCGATACTATGAGCGTAAAGCCCATACCGGTCGAGGAGAAGGAGGCGGATGTAGGACCAACGGCCGAGGAGGTTGTCACCGCCGCCAGCAGCACAAGCACGATATCAGCCGAAGAAGAGATGTCATCGTCCGCGGCATCCAGCTCAGGGGATGTGGCCCCATCAGCGCCGGCGGCGGCGGCAACGGCGGCAAATACAGCTGCCACCCGCATCTTCGAGAAGATCGTCGAGTCGACCGCTGCATCATCCGTGCCAGCTGCAAGCAATGGCTCCACCATACCCGAGGAGAAGCTCTGCAAGATCTGTTACGGCGCCGAGTACAACACGGCATTCCTGCCCTGCGGTCACGTTGTGGCCTGCGCCAAGTGCGCCTCCTCTGTCACCAAGTGTCCACTGTGCCGGAAACCCTTCACCGACGTGATGCGTGTATATTTTTCTTAAGAACTAATGTTAACATGACGATGAATGGTATCTCAAATGTTAATCAAAATAACAAGAAATCGGGGTTCAACCGGCGATCGCAACGGCCAGCTGTTGGGCAGCCCTGCACCTGGCCGTTGCCATTACCAAGAAAACGAAGCCTGGTAGAAATTGTAAGCCTCCAATGTAATATTAGCTTAGTCGCACATGTATTCTGCGTTATTTATAATAAAACTAACATATTACCGAATTCTTTGTTGTTTCCTTATAAACTGGGTGGCGCCTTGTCAACTTTATGAGCTCATAAGCTTGCCATATCGATTCGTTTGGGGGATTCACAAATTCCAATGGGATTTTAAAAGTAATCAAGGAATGCGCTTCCAGGAACGAAAGATAGTAAGTTGTAGATAAAAAGCAAAAGAACAGTCTTACTACACTAGAAGTACATAGTTTAATAAAAACATACTAGTAGGAAAAATAGTACTAAAAAAGTCCTTAAACTATGAATTTAAAGTTGTATTTTATTATATATGATATGAATTCCTAAAGTACATATATCCGATAAACAGACTTATCTTTGAGTCTTACAATATATCAATTTCATTTTATTATATTTCGAATCTTTATCTAAAAACCTTTAGACTTTTGTTTACCCGATATATACACATACTTGCAAATATTGGGTTTCACTGTAGATGTTTTTGTTTTATGGTTTTAAAATGAAGTACAATATCTATATTTGTTTTTTTTTGCGTCTTTTCAATATAGTATATGACCCATTGTTATCAAGGTATTTAGCCAATTACGATAATCTTAGCTCAAGCTATGCACGCGTGTCTTTGTTGACGACAGGTTGGCCCAAGTACTCGGAGATACCCTCCTTATCAGTCATTGGTTTATAAGGTTTATACGCGCCTCCAATTAATCATCGCCCACAACTAAACAAAAGTGCATTCAACTGCAATTACAGCTGACTGAGAGCAGTGACAAATCCGGGACCTTTGTTGCAGTTCGTCAAAGCCGCGAAAATGTTGAAAAAATCAGGTTTTGTAAGATGTGTATTTTTAATTTTTCGAAGTTCGAAGTTAAACGCTGTCGTTTTCCATCTCATCAGATAAAGACAATCTGGTCATGCATTTCAATTAGCTTGATATGTGGAATAGAGGGGCAACCAGTTATGATTCGAAATCAATCTAAAACTTTTAAAAATGATCTAAATATTAGTGAAAATATTTGATATATTGTGGAAAATTTATGAAATTTATGGAGATCTTTGCAATATTATTACCCTTTCTGGAGAAAATAAATAGATCTTTAGTTCTATTTTTAATAGACTATTGTTTTAATTATTAAAACAAAAAAGATTTGGAAAACTTTTGAAATAAGAAAAACGTTGGTGAATTTTGTAGTGTTCAGTGGTTTGCATCCATGCTATGCTATACATTTTTTGGAGAGAAAAATGTATAGATTTTGTTTATTGAAATTAAAATGTTTTTAGGCTATTTATTTTGATTATTATTATGAAAATGACTTTAGTTTAATTCAGTGTCTCAGAAATTGGAACCAAATCACATCGAATTTTTTCAACAACATGCAGCCAGCCCTGGATCCGGCAGATCCGGTTTGGAATTGGGATTAGCCAAGGTGACAATTGGTTAAGTGCGACTTGGCCAGATCGGCTGTCAGCCTGGCACTTCTTAGCGGTTGCATCACCTTCACATGTGTACAAATGTATGTATATATGAACATATGCATATGGAAATGCAATTGCACACGTGCCAGAGATATCAGCAGGCAAGTGTGGAATTTATTATTATGAAATCAATCCGTTAAGAAACATTTGTCTGAGTCATCGATTATTACCTAGAACTGGCAAGAATGACACCCTGCTGTGTGCTGTGGGCTGGAAATATCAGTGATCAGAAAGCTATTCCGAATGCAATTGGCAGGCGATAAAGTTTATGCAAATTGCTGGTCTAGATTCCGCGACGAATGAGCGGAGAAGTCAAGCTAAGCGCTGACCTTAGATTGCGTGAGGTTTCTAATTAAGCCGCAAGGCCTATGCCTAGACTACCTTCAATTTGCGTGAGAAACTGCGTTTTTGTAACAAGAGTTGGAAAGTATATATATTTTCAATTAAGCTAAATAAATTTAAATCAACTTAAATTTAACGTCTAGACATTTGGTGGATGTATTTGCTATTGGTTTGTATGTTGGCTAAAGCATTTTATTTTTTTAAGAGTTGGTTTGTGCTTAGGATGCATTAGTTATAAAATCTCACTAAAAATGTTGCTCTGATTGTGGTTTGGTTACTTGCTAAAGAGGTGCTATAAATGGTGTATAAGTTGGTATAATTTAAAAATAATATAATTAAATTGTAAGTATTATTATTACTATCTCAAGAAAAATGATTTACTACAACTTATCTCTATTAAAAGAAATTCTTAGGTTATCGGAATAATCTTTATTAAAATACCATCTTTTATATTGTATTTTATAGTTTCTGATATTTAACACAAATTCAAAATTTCCAAATTAACATAATCTTCGTTGGCCATTAGAAAAGCCTTGTGGGCATTAATTTGAATGGCCAAATCCACAAGATTTGTGTTGCTAAAATAATCCATGGCCACGACATTGGCATTATTGCCCCATGGCCCCTTTAACCATTGGTTAACCTTTGGATTTAGGATCGCCGCCCGATCCTTGGCCGTCAGCAGTTTGTGGGAGTTCAGGCTCTGCTCCATGCTCCTCACCGCACTGAATATCCAGCCATCCTGAATATCCTTGACAGGTGACTCTGGCTTCCGGCTGAACAGGAGACGCATGTAGTCCAAGGTTTGTGATATATTCATGAAGCTGGTGCTAAAGCGTAACCAAGGGGGGCAAATCAAATTGGATTCTGGTGGGGATTATCGATTAGAAGCATCTCTTATTCATGATTTAACAGTTTAGCTTACCATTCTCGGGATGTGGCAGCTCCTGTGTGGGAAACAGTATGATCACATGACGGTTCTGCCTTAGGAGGTCCTGCAAATTCCGATTGGCGCAATGCTCGTCCATGCTTACATTACGTTGATAGGCCTCATCGCCCAACTCTCGACGAATAAGATAATACAACGATCTGTAGAGCTCCGGATGCTTGTAGAATCCAATAGGGAAGCTGCTAAAATCAAGGACCACCAGTTCACCGGATCTCTTGACAAAGTGATGAACATCCCGCAGAACTCCGACCAGAGGTTGGAGATACATATTCTCGTTGACCAGCCAGAAGTTGTCGCTATCGTCATTGGTGCCCATGACTTTGTAACTGAAAAGGAAAGGATAGAAAGTAATAATATATAATATATATTTTTTTAATCTTACCCCACACTCAAATCCAAATAACGTATGCCAAAGACCAGCTGAGACCACACATCGAAAAGCTGTGCCTGCAGATAATCCTTGATGAGCACCGACTTGCTGGTACGATTTACAACGGCTCCGGAGGCATGAGTTCCCGGCAGGAACATGTTCTTCAATGGCATTCGACTCACATCCTTGTTCTGGGACATCCAATTTGGTTGAATCTTTAGGCAATCCACGGTGAGGAGTTCGGTGCCATTGTAACTGGCCACATAGTGTGGCAGGCACTTCCCTGCGGGATAACGCGTGGCCGGAGGATCATCAGTGTCCTGTCGATTCCAGCCTCCCGGAAAGTGTAGCTTTCCCAACTTAAGGGGTGTGATTATCTTTCCCGTACGATTGACAATCGCCAATCTATGAATTAACAGCTCAGGCTGAAAGTTGGAAATGGTTGGATCCTGGCCATAGATGCCAATCCATTCCGGTGGTCCATAGCAATCGGGACCCCAATTGACCTCCAGAGAGGAGTCATACAGGGCTTTGCCATTCGGTGAAATGGTCAGGTACACAGGGCAACTAGCTAAGGGAATAAGGGAAAATTCATTCTATATTATTTATACTTTATTAAATATGCAATTTGTATAGTTTTAGTATTATTCTTAAACCCTTTACTATACCTCCTAGAAATCTAATCAGCGATATTGTCTGCAGCAAAGCCATCAGTATTAGTAATTTCATTTTCATCTTTAAACTTGACACTCAATTAGAAATTACGACGATGTGCACTTTGAATAGATTTTTCGTGTCTTATTTGCTTGACAGCCAGCGCCGAATTGAAACGAGAGATTGAGACTTGTACACTTTGTTATGCGGCAATTGAGGCAACTTCCCACAAGCTCAAGACGACCTTTACCTCCCAACCCATCCCCCTTCTCTGGGTAATTGAGCATTTTCACATTTTCACTGGACTCACTTTTGAGACATTTTAATTTAAAGAGATGAGAGACATTGCTCTCTATTCTGGAAGAGTGGAATTAGATGAAAGATAAAATCCCAAAGAAGATGATTTGGTTGATGCTAAAATTATAATTAAACAGAGAGATAAGATAATTGTTTAATTAATGTAATCGTTAAAGCATAGATTTTTATGAAGGGTTTTTAAATAGAGTATAAATCTCCTTTAGTGTATGACTTCATTATTTAATTACGGAGTTATGGCTCTAAATTGTCGCATTCTGTAAAATAAGGACAGTCACAATCTTTTTAGCTTTGATTCTGGGAAATTAAATAAAATGTCATATAAGTACTTTTTTATTTAGGGAGTTATGACACTATAATGCTACATACTTTAAAAAACACAAGGGCACACTTTTTTACTTCGAAGTTCCTCATATTCCATATTGTTTTATTGTTTTAAATATATAACACTAATTGTTTAATTTTTTCATTTATTTATTTTTCTTTATTTAACTTATTTGTAATAGTAGCTGTGTTATTTATTTATTTAGGTTGTGTCATGTTTATTTTTTTTTATAAAATGAATTTAATCTCTTAAGAACCACCGACATCTTTGTTTACACTCTTGATAGGAGCAATGACGATTGCTATTTCCCCCACAGCCCCAAAATGTCATCCGTTTGCAATCGTTGGACCACAAGTCGTAATACCACATATTGATATTAAGATTCCTCAGGCAATCCCTTCCAAAGCTATGTCCTTCGTTTCTAAAAAAGTAGCACCCCCTAAAATCTACATAGAAAATAGTTAGTAATTAATGTTTAAATAGTTAATATTTCAAGTTAATTGGTTAAGCTTTGACCTACTTACTTGGACGTCCATTGCAAAACGGGAACACCAGGCAACTGGATTGTGCAATAAACAGGACAAGGCAGGCCAGACTTAAGTAGTATTTCATATTTAAATAAATTTATAAAGGGTCTGACAGGGGTCTTATATAGAAACAGACAAACAAACAGAAACAGAAAAAAAATAAACAAAAGGTCTTTATTAAAAGTAAAACAATGGAAAGTAAAGTTGAAGCTAATACAAGTGTATTGCTTCGCACTACGAACCCCCTACAGCTTTGTTTATCCATAAAAAGGTACATAAATGCCTCAAATTTTTAAAAATATTATTGTATTTTAATAAACGGAACTTTTTAAATTTATTCTTAATGACGAAAAGCATTAGCAGTAGCTGAAATATATCAACTTGAAGTTGTCTATGACCCTGTAATCGTTATACCACATTGCACCACTGAAATTAAAATGACAGGATATTTTTGATGCCCTTCGTCCTCCCGACGTCATGTCACAGTTTCAGTTCACATATTTAGTTCGGGTTTTGTAATTTAAACAAACTGAAAGTCCGTAGCAACGGCTACGTGTGTCATTAATAATATTCATATAAAAAATATAAGAACTAGCTTAAAAAAGAGTTTATTTTTAGATGCTAAAGTCGTACTATTTATCTTCTTCAATGTTGAAGCTTATACAGGCTTCCACAAACTTTTTGTATTTGTTTCAATAGATCTCGACAATAGTCTAAACTTGCAAATAAATACAGCTGTTTTCCAGAAATTTTCTTTATATTTCAAATTAATAAACATAAAAGATCTTTTCAAGAGAGAACACGGAACAAAATTTATGAAATCCATAAAGTAAAATATTCAAAACAAATATAAAAATGTAAATTAACTTGTAGTGCCCAGTTTACTATCAAAAGATTGTTTACAAAATGTCAATATAAGAAAAGGACACAAATACACATAATATCCATTAGTTACGACGATTGCAGGACCTCAGACAGTGTTCCTTGGAGCAATAGCGATTGCTGTTGCCAAAGCAGCCATGGAAGGTCATCCTTAGACATTCCCTGGTATCACGCCTGTAGTACCACATATTGCGATTCGGCTGTGGATTACATTGAGGAGCCTGCGGAACTCCTTGATTCCTGCCACCATCGCAGTCTTGGTTGCCTGTTTTTATTAAATATTATTAAATAAGTCAAATGGTTTCCTTACGAGTTTATTCAATTTAACTTACTGGGACGACCCACGCAATTCTCCTGTCCTTGGGTAACAGCCACATACAGGACGAGGCAGACAGCAATCAGAAGGAATTTCATTTTTAGTAGATTTCTTTGTGATGTTCGATTTGAACTGATTGTTAAAGTTAATACCATAGCTTATATAGGGTTAACTTGTCTATATAAATAGCATTGAGACAATAGCATTACGTATGAAAAGTAAGTTTTGAATCCCATTATCAAAGAGCTTTATTTATAGTTCGTGTGCTACTTAAATTTTAAAAATAATAAAGGTTTTCAAGAGTGCCCCAAAATGGATCATCTGCGAATAATTGAAACTATTTTTATATTGCCAACTCTTTCAGAATCTTAAATAAATAAAAATGCTTTACTCGACTGCTAAATTCCCAATAATCGAAATTGTATATATATTTATCTATATTCAAAAACAGATGTTATTGTGTATGTCATCATCATAATAAGCTTAATAAAAAGTGAATATAATAAATATAATACAAGAAAGGAAGCTTACTTCGGCACGCCGAATTTTATATACCCTTGCAGATAGAACTTCGATGTCTAGGAATCAGTACTATATTAATAATATATGTATATTTATGTTTAAAAACAATTAAGTAATACCTGCTTTCGTTTCATTTACATATACATATTATATTTACAATTTTACATTAACAGATTTGCATTTTTCCTCTATATCTAACGATCGTTCCTATGAGGGCTATATGTTATATTAGTCCGATTTTCATAAAATTGTACACAAAATTTTAAAGTAATACAAAAAGGCTATATCTCAAAGTTGATTAAATTCGGTTGAAAACTGAAAATATTCTAATTTTTTTGGTAAACATGTTCCGATCATTCCTATGGCAGCTATATGATATAGTCGTCCGATCCGACCCGTTCCGACCCGTTCCGACATATTTACGAGTGAGAGTATATAGAAGGCTAACTACAAAGTTTCATTCAGATAGCTTCAAAACTGAGAGACTAGTTTGCGTAGAAACGGACAGACGGACAGACAGACAGACGGACAGACAGACAGACGGACAGACGGACAGACGGACAGACGGACAGACAGACAGACGGACAGAAGGACAGACGGACAGACGGACAGACGGACATGGCTAGATCGACTCGGCTGTTGATCCTGATCAAGAGTATATATACTTTATATGGTCGGAGGTGCCTCCTTCACTGCGTTGCAAACTTCTGACTGAAATTATAATACCCTGCAAGGGTATAAAAAGAAACACAAACAAACACAAGTTATACATTTTTGTATGCAGTTTAATATAAAGGGTAAGTGTCACAATTGTTTCATTTTAATTTCGACGACGGCATCTTTCCAAACAGGATGCCTTGGTGCAATAACGATTCCTGTTTCCGCCACATCCGAGATAGTTCATCTTGAGGCACTCTCCGGTTCGACGGTTGTACCACCACATATCTCGGTTGGGACTCGGACTACAATGACGTTGCTGACGTACTCCATCGTCCCTGCCTCCTTCACAGTTCTGGGGCTCTGTATTTAATTAGATTACTTGTTAGTCAATAATAAAGTTCATATTAACGATTTCAAGTTTCCACTTACCACGAGGAAGTCCGTTGCATCTCTGGCCACAGGTGGAGGCCACATACAGGATGAGACAGGCAGCAATCAGAAGGAATTTCATTTTTAGTAGATTTCTTTGCGATGTTCGATTTGAACTGATTGATCAAGAGACGAGCTTGGCTTATATAGGGCCAATAAACAATGGCGATAAGGTCAACACAATAGTCGATATTCGAAAAAAGCTGAGACAATGAAACATATTTTTTAAATATACATTTTATTATTACAGAGATATATTTATAACTTGAACAAACAAATATGTATATTTCTAAAAATAGTATTTTTATTTATGGAACATTTGTTTAATCTTTTTATGGTACCTATAATCCAATTTCATTTTAATCAATGCAATTCTTAATAAAGATTTAGAAAGAAAAAACAATTTAGATTCGGATATTGTAATCTTAACACCATTTTGTTCATTGCTAACTTGTGTGTTTTTAATGCTAATTTTGGTTAGCTCAGGCCAGTGAGTATTTTCAAATAATTTAAACTAAATTCAAATCCAATAAGTCTTTTCACTTCAAATTCAAGTATATTAAACCCCTTGGGGTCTGGTCAAATTATAAGAAAAGGTCAAGAAATCCTATAAAATATACTAGTTTTGTAAATATATTTAAATTAAATTAGTTTAATTTTTTAAAGAAGCAATATAATTTGGCTTTACAAACCTTTTAAGATTAACACAGAAAATACCTGGTAGTCCAAGTTTTCTGTATTAAATTCAAAGCTAGAAGGACATGACTAAGGATCGTTTTTTAGTTTAACTCCTAAAATTAATTTAACAAATATGTGCACTGCTAAAAAATGACATTATTTTTAATTTTAATGCGAGAGCTAGCATTAATAGGTACCTGGACTCTTAAAAATTACACCTGTTTTCAGCAAGAAGAACAAAAGGAATCACAGCTGTGAAAAGTTTAGATAAATTACAGAGTGTTTTCTTTAAAAACAAGCTTATATAGTCTTAATATTTTTTAGACAAATTTTCTATGTAGAATCTACGTTTTGTTTATTCTCATATTGTCTCATTAGAACCTTATATAATTTGTATGAAAACCTTAATTTAAGGCGACGCAAAGCATCAAAAAGGTAACTTTAGGGTTATATTAGTAGGAAAGATTGTATTATAAAGTTAGTATAGTATACCTTTTATTTGCACCCATAAAGAGAACATTACCCCATTTAGGAAAACAAAGATATCAAGCAAATATTTGATTTATTTTTCAAATCTTAATTCTGTTTTTCGAAACCAATAGAGACTTAGCGCCTGCAACTTCTTCGGCAATGGTTCTCAGAGCAATATCGATTATTGTTGCCACCGCATCCCCGATAGCGCATCCTGGAGCAGCTCCTGCTCCTTGAATTGTAGTACCACATTTCCTGGTTTCTGGCATGGCAAGTCCAGAGATTTGCGTTTCCATCATCCCGGCCACCTGAACATACCTGAATTACTGTACCAAAAGGATGAAAGATGATTATTAAGATGAGGCTTGCGAAGTAATAGACTTACCTGGCCGACCCCGGCAAACGTCCTGGCCAGTGGTATAGGCCACATAAAGTGTTAGACAGGCCAAGATCAAAGCGCACTTCATACTGAATTGCCTTAAACTGTTTATTCAGTAGAAAACGGTGGCTTATATAGTAAGGAAAACAATAAAATATTTGGGTTTTTGGGTAAGAATGTTGTAAAAAATACAACAATTATGTAATACTAGTTGTGTGTCCTAAATTATGAACAAAGAAGTGTTGAAAAAAAGATACATTCTTATTTTTATTATGTTTTAGGATAATATTAGGGCAAGCTTTTAGCTTTAATTTATTTGTCAGGCTTTCTGTAGTCAAATAATATTAATCTTGAAATTGACTATTACCTTAAGTGTTTATTTTACATATCTATAACGTACAACATATCCCAGCTTATTCCCAAAACACTTGTGCACTGAAAATAAACCTCATATCGAACAGCCTTGTGCTTGCTGAACAATAACCACCTGATAAAAAATTATATAATACCTAAAGCTCTGGCACGTGTGAGGGTTTCTTTTTACAATTTTTTTTAGAATGTTTCAATAATGTTTAAAGAACATTTCCGACGAAACTAAAAACCCTCTTTATTCCCATAACATAAATAACTTTACTTAAAGTAAAGTATATTGGAAATGTAAAGTTGGAATTCAAAGGGTTATATAATGTTCAACATTGTTCTTCTGTTTTTTATTATATATATTGATTCGACATAAAGAAGGTCCCCTTTATTTACTTAACACAATTCAGGAAACAGATATTTATTTGTATTTTTTTATACACGTGCATATGCTGTTAAAGAAAATCATTCAACAGGAGGTATAAATACAACATGTATTTATAAAATCAAGTGTAACATAATTTCATAATTTCGAATCTATAATGCGGAGTACTACACTGATCCTTTTAGTTGCTGTTGTGGTCTTGTACCTTTTGATGGTCTTGACTCAAGTTGAAAGCTGCAAGGGGAAGCCATGTAAGTTAAAATTTTATAATCCCATTAAAATCGGATTATCCTAAATTGATTTCTTATTTTATCAGCCTCTCCCAAGTGTGTGGGGTCCCTTGATGTCGGTAATGACCGAAGAAGAAAGTGCAAGAGATCTGCTAATAAGAATATGTGGCATTACAATACTGTGACTAAAAACTGCACAAAACTTAATTATAAAGGATGCGGTGGTAATGATAATCGTTGGTGTAATAAACAACTGTGTGAAGCCTGCCGAGGAAGATAATAAATATACTAAGTTCTTAAATAAATTAGAAAAATATATTAAATCGAGTGGGTTTTCCTGGAAACAATAATCTTAAAATCAATCAATAAAAATTCTTGCTATTTGTTAAACACGTGCCGCTTTTGAAAGCTCATTTTCATTGTTTATTTTTAGCTATTTAACAACTTGCAATTGTTTACAAGTATTGAAATGCTTAACAATAATAATCAGCTGCTTGTGATTGATTTTTTGATTAATTTTATTTCCATTTATAAAGTGGCTTAAGCAGAAAATGAAGAACATCCTTTCATGGAAACAGACTTGCACGTGTATAGTTTTATTTAATGCAAGGAAGGAAGGTTACTCCCTATAAATACCCTGTCAAAAGATCAGAAATCTTATTCCTTGATTAAACCATTCCCAGGTTACAAGTTTCAGTTTTTAATATGAGAAGCACTTCTTTGATCCTTTTAATTGCTGTAGTGGCCTTGTATCTTGTTACCTCTGTGGAGAGCTGCAAGGGCAAGCCTGGTAAGGATATAAAGAAATTATTTCAGGATTCCAAATAAATGTTTAAAAATTCCCTTAGCCACTCCTCAGTGCGAAGGACCTTTAGATGGCGGCAATAAGCGAATAAGGAGATGTAAAAAGAACTACAACAAGGCCATGTGGCACTTTAATGTGGTGACCAACAACTGCACACAATTTAAATATAAAGGATGTGCTGGTAATAATAATCGCTGGTGCTCAAAGCTTATTTGTGAAACCTGTCGAGTTAGATTATTTAAGTAACTCGCCCAAAGAAATAAAATAAAAAATACACACGAGCATATATATAATTATTTTGCTGGTTTATTTTCGGACGCTGGATGCTGTGGATCGATTTCATCTTTTGAATGTTGGGAACCAGTAACAAAAGCTAATTAGCTTGCAAATTGCTTTACATTTAAAAACTATCAATAAGTTTAAGTACAACAATGCTTAGGGCTAAACTTCAACCAGTTCTGTACAGACTTAAAGCTATTTAATAATTGTTAAATTAAATTATTTACTTTTTGTGCGATATTTGTTGTTTATCTAGAATTTCTTTACAAAACATTGCTATAATTAATTCGATTATTCGATTTGTTCACTTCGCTTCTGGCTTTGTGTTTGCTTTGTTTTTATTTTCAAACGGAATGCGGGCGGTATTTTTAGTTAATATTATTAAGTATTTGATTTTCGTTGCACAGGTACGACGCAATGATATATATGAAGGCAGTTGTTAATCAATTTCATTCTTACTCATCTGAGGTAGGTATAAAACAATATAAAAATTACAAAAAAAAGGTATTTGAAACAGTCTAGACTCCACAAAAAAGTACAATCCTAAACGGGCATAAATTATCTCAAATAAATTACATACACATTTACGATTCTATTTAGCATATATCTCTATATAGCCTACATCATATCCGTAACTAAATATATATATATAAAAAAAACATAAAAACAGTCTTGTGGTTGCATTTGTGTTTAGTTTCTCGTTAAGCAGATTTCATTTCTGTGATTGTGATATCAGAATGCGAATGAATAAATATGTGGCGAGTGCGAATGCGAATGTGAATATGAATACGAATACGAGTTGCAGTTCGAGTTTAGGACTATAAATAAATTCTGCTTAATTACTGGGTACTATGCGCATGTCTTTCTTGGTGTGTTCTAGGAATTGGAGTTAGCTCCTCTCTTATGTGTTTTTGGGGGTGGTGTTATATGGTGTGTGCTATTTACAGGGTGGCCCAGGACCTATAAGCTATATATACAGGCCATCTATTTACAGTTAGGGTGCGGGACACCCAAAATAAGTTTACAAATCGTGGGAGGAAGATATAAACTATAAAGGATTCTATGAAATATTGCCCTAGAAATGATTACTTTCAATTTGATGCTTTTCTTTTTAGTCTAAGTTTTAAAATAATATTAGATTCAAGTGAAATTTGTACCAAATGTAATAATTAAATTCGTTGAACCTGCATTTAAAATCTTTAAAAATTAATTATTTTCTGTTATTGAAAATTACAAAACTATGCAGACCTCTCGATCGTTTTTTAAAGAGTTTTAAAAGGAGTCTAAAAGTATGCAATGATATGTTGATTTTAAATCTCTACCTATTTTGTCTTTTAAAGATTTTCTAAGGCAATATTTCCTACAATCCTGCAAAGACTATAACAACCTCCCTCAATTCCCCGCTCACTCTTCTTCAATATACCCTCAATTTACAGGGTATTCTTCGTCTAGCTCGCCTGCTGTGTGAGCAAGTTGACCAGCTCGGTGCGTTCCATGTTGTTCAACGTGTGCATATCCACACCCAAAGCGGCGGCTACCGCCTCAATGTCCAACCCGAAGGCGGTGAGCAGCTCCAGGAAGCGCATCTCCTCGCCGGTCATTGGGTTGGTCAAAGTGGGACAGGAGTGGTTGCACTGCGGCCAGCTGCAACGCTCCAAGAGACGCAGGCCACACTTTTCCGGCACTCGGGGCACTCGCTGACGCTTCTTGGACTTGGTGCCGGCGGAGGCATTGTTGGAGGAGCGCAGCTTCTGCGCCGGTTCCTCATTCACCACCACAACCGGAGATGGTTGCTCCTGTTGCATCTGTGAGTGGGGATGCTGCTCGCGTCGCATTAGTTGCTGCTGCTCCTGCTGCTGCTGCTTGCGACGTCGCCTGCGCTGCTCCTGTCGCTGTTCCGGGGTCAAAGGTTGGCGACGTCTTTGCTTTCGAGGATCGCTGCCATTACTGGACTTGGGATTATTGTTCTTTCGATTCCTATTCTTTTGCGACGCATTGGCATTCCTTTGCTGCTCCTGCCGGCGCCGTTGCTTGCGTCGCTGTCGTTGCTCCTGCCGCAGGCGCTTCCTTTCCTCCCGCTCCTCCTTGGTCAGGTGATTGTGCTTCCTGGGCGTTCCCGCCTGAGCCACATTGTTCTGCTTCTGTCGCTGCTGCTGTTGCCGCTGACGATGTCGCTGATGTCTTTGGTTATTGGGATGCTGGGAGAGGACAGTCGAAGCCTCCGTGGATCTCTTTAGCTTGTCATGTCTCTTGCGACGCGTGGAGTGCTCCCAGCAGCGCAAAGCCGAGGGCAGGGAGATGTCATCTATTTTGATATTGACCCAATCCCGTTTCGATAAGACCGCATGACCAATGCAACTGGGTGCAAATACTGCGGTGACATTGTCCAGGGAAGATCTCAGGGCGCCACCCATCTCATGGATATAATTCCATTGTTGCGGGGTCACTGGAGCTCCCACATTGTCCGCACGCATCTGGGCCTCATCGAAAAGCCATTGGAACACAAAAAGGGGAGCTAAAAATTAAGAAATATATCTTTAGATACAATTCTGGATATGAAAATGTCTAGATAAACTTACTCTTTAAGGTGGGATATAGTCTGTAGCCAAAGTAACATCTCCAATGCTCCGTGGGGTGAGCTTTGGTGCACTCCTCGGGCAGCAAACCCTGCCACAGCTTCCAACCCTGACGCACTGCCTCACTGGAGGCCACAGCCGCTGGGTATAGGGTTCTCGGTCCAAGAACCAACCCGAATCACTTACACCCCTCACAGTGACCTGTAGCTGCTTTTCATTCACCAGGAAATCCCGTATTCGATCCAGATTTAGCATCACACCAAGACCCCCGGCTGAAGAGCCCACCAAAAGGAGTTCTCCACCCGGCACACGACCCAATCCCACGGGTATCAGTTCAGCAATGACTTGCTTCAGGATGAGGGCACCCATAAAGCGCCAACTATTCTCCGGATCTCGGGTATCCGGTTCCGTGCGTGTGCCTGACCATGAATCACTGCTGCAGTAAGGGATAAGGACATGGTTGGCATTGTGCCAGTAGGGATTCTCCTCGGGATGCGGCGACAAAATGCCTCCCACTGGAATAGAGAAATTAAGAAACTTTAGAAAACTGTTAAGGGTTTTTCTTTGCAGAGTTCAAACTCACCATCTCTTGTCTCTGGCCACTGGGAGGAGGTCATCAGATGTCGCAGCCTCATCCATCTGGCCCGACATGACCGCACATCGAAGCAGTGCCATCCCCCCTCTAGGAAGACGATCCACTTCTTGGAGTTGGGCTGCTTCCGCAGGTAGTAACCGGCATGGGTGCCATCATTGCAGGTAATACTCGTATTGGCCAAATTGGCCCTCTTCAGGGAGCGACTGTGATCTCCAGAGCCGCTGGCCGAGTGCATGACCATATAGTTCCGTTGGATCATATTCATGCTGGTCTCACGCAGCGGATCCTTGTCCAGACTGGAGGCGGCATCCAGGCTGCTAAGAGAGCTGGAGCCAGCGATGGCCCTGGCACTTGGCAGCTGACTAAACGTGGCCAAGAGCAGCAGCAGTCTGACAATCTGTCAAAGAGAAAATAGAGAAAAACAGAGTTAGAGTCTTGGAAATGATAACAGAGAATCAGTCACTCTCTCTTTCTCTCTCTAGATGGCCACTTCTCTCTCTCTCTCTCTCTCTCTCTGGGCCAACAGTTTGCTGGTGTTGTTTTTGGCGGAAAAACTTGCTTTGATCAAAATGCGAGCAAGAAGCTTTGCGATAAAGATCAAAGAAATTTTTGCCGCATTTCGTTTCGTCGTTCCGTTTCGTTGTGTTATTCCAACCCCTCCCCCTCTTTCTCTCCCACTCTCTTTTTGTGGCTTGTTTGTTGTTTTTGTTTTGTCTTGCCTTTTGGTTTACATAGAGAGGCGAGAAAAAAAATATAAATACAACAAAATAATAAAGAAAAAACAACACCTCAAAGTATTTAGTCAAACATGGCAAGAAATTGCTGTTAATCATACGCCCCGTGGGCCAGTCAAACAAATTTCAATTTCACATTGTCATGGCCGCTGACGCGTGGTAATCAGCAGCGGCGGCGCTGCCACAGCGACGCCAGCTGAGCGTCGGCGTCTGCGTCCGTTCTTGGCTTTGAACTTAAGGTCGCTTTGTGATACCCTGTGATTGAGGTGTATAAAGGGTATATAGGAATTGCGGGCATTTATGAAACAGTAGAAAATATCTATATTATTATTTTGTAATGATAGAAGGTCGACTTGATCTAGTCATGTTTGTTAATATGTCCAATTATTTTTGGTTTTTGTTTTTTGGGATTTTTTGACTGTTCATTTTCCCCGTTCATTTGTGTTTCATTGTAGTTTCCCTTTATTTGTCTCTTTATTTAACCACTTATTTTTCTGTTTTTTTATCTGATTATTTGTCCGTTTATATCTAAATTCATTTGTCCGTTCATTTGTTATATTCATTTGTCCCTTCCTTCACTTGTTCATTCATTTTTCCGTTCCTTAGTTTGTTAATTTGTCTGTTAAGTTATCAGTGAATGCCTTTTTAAAGGCAAGTTAAGGAAAATTTAGTAAACCCAAATATTTCTCAAATCTTCAAAAGAAAAACGTAGCCAAAGGAGCTTTTTTAAATCGCAATAATTACGGGATATTTGTATGGTCGGGGAAATCGACTAAACCTTTAATTTTTTTTTCGTTGCTCGGTATACAGACATCAATCAAATGAGCTATCTGGCGATTTGTTTTGTTGTTTCGCTGATTCTCAAGTTGCCTGTTTTTCTTGTTGCCTTTTGGTTTTATTTGTTGTTGTTGTTTAGCTATTTTCCAGCAATTTGTAAATAAGACAACAATAACAGCAACAAAAACATTTGCCGACAAAACATCGGCAACGATTTTAGTGTCTCAGTGTGTCAGTCTGTCAATTCGGCCGGGTCGGTCCGTCTGTCTGTCTGCTTGGCTGTGTCTGCCTGTCTACGGTCTTGCCTCCGCATAAATAACCATTCAGAAATCGTAAAGAAATCTTCAATCAATGTTTATACAGGCCTTTGATGTGAGCCGCCTGCTGCCGCCGCCAGCAACGACAATTTGCAGACAGAAATGCAAATGACACAAACACACAGGCACACTTTGGAGGGGAATAGTAACAGAAATTGGCTAAAGGCCTACAAAAGTATAATTTGGCCAAAAACTAAACTCTGAAAAACTGGACCGCAGGCCATTTTGGCCTAACGGTAGCATCAGTCATTGATGCATATATTCGCAAAGATATAAAGCTAGGATATCTATATTTAAACCAGACAATCTGGTTCCCAAATTTTGTTTGATAATTTCCATAATATGCCAGAGTCCGAAATTCATATAAATTAGGTTTAACAAAACCATTGACAAATACATTGCTTGATAACATTTTAATAATAGTGAATGTGATTTTATTTGACAGTATGCATTATAAATTTGGATTACTATCTGATCAAAGCTTGATTTAATATGGCCATAAATTTATTTGTTTTCTTTGAAAATTATTGGAATATCTTTTAGATAAGTAAAGGCTAAAGTAAAGAGTAGGTTATTATTTGTACAATATTTAATAATTTAATTGAGGTTTTAATTTAGAATATTGTAAGTTTAGATAGATTAATAGATTTTTGAAATTAAAAATTTAAATTTGATATTGAAAATTATTTTAAAGAGTTAGAAAAAGATATTTGTAATAATAAAATCAAGGCTTTTCTGATAGGTATTTTATTTTAGGTTTAATATATAATTTGACGGATAAATCTATTTACCATTTGTATAAAATTGAATATGAACAAGTTATAAATTTAGGATATAGTAAGTTTAAGGTATAGCTATTGCATAATTTAAACATAAAGTCTGCATAAATTGTAAGAAAAAGATATTTGTAATGATAAAATATAGCCTTTTCTGATCCGCATTTATTTCTTTTGTTTGATATATAATGGAATAATTAAGTGGATAAATCTATTTACCATTTTTGAAATATTTCATAATCTAAATATGCTTTAAAATTTGTATATCAGAAGTTTACCTTATCAATTTTTGCTTAATTTAAATGAAAAATCATCCTATATTGTTATTCTAATGATAAATAAATAATAAATGGATTTTTATGATTCGCAGTTATTTGGTTTGTTTAAAATATAATGAAATAACCAAGTGATTAAATCTATTTACCATTTGAACAATATATAATCATATGAATAGGCAATTTATTTGGCATTGTGGTAGTTCAATAGATGTTTGTAAAATTTAAATGAAAAAGAATTAGAAAAAGATCATTCTAATAGTAAATTACCCAAAATATATAGACAAAACCTAGCTCTTTCTGATCCATATTACCTTGCTCCCCATTCCACCAATACGATTCTTTTATATTCTGTTCTTTTTTTTGCTCTGCACACGTCTCTTACAACAGGTTTAGATATCTTCTGGCTCGTCTTAGTCGCTCGCCGTCCCATGTTTGATGTTTGCCGCCAAACAACGAAATTGACAAGAGCTCCCTCGCTCCTTCCACCTTCCAACATTAGATGAGTAGTTTCCATTGTTGATTAGTTCAACTGCGCCAACGATTGTGGCCACAATGAACCACCAAAAAAAAAACAAAAAAAAAAACAAGAAAACCAAAGAAATAAAACTACAAATAGTGGGATTTCACGTGTGCGTGCGCGGATTTACGTTTGAGTAAATACACACACAGAAAGATACAGATACAGATACAGATAGATAATGGTTTGAGCGTACGTTGCACTTGTTGCTAGTCTTTATATTTCGTTGTTGTTGTTGTGTTTACCTGTGCTGAGAAAAAACGGCAGCGCCGCCGAATAAAAATAAATAAAAACACTGTCGGCATTGCCCAAAGGAAAAAATGTTCACAAGCGCCGCTTAATTACCCTATATAGAGTCTTAAGTTGCGCTATTAATTGCGGGCAGTGCTTATTAATATTTTGCCTTCTTTTTCCACCTCCGTCGATTTTCTTCCCCCCTCTTTACTGTAGAGTTTATTTTTTTATTTTCCGTATTTCGAGCGATGCCGACAAAGGATCGAATCGAATGTCTGGGGGCTGGCTGGCAGCCAACTACTTGTCGCGCCGATTATATTGTCAGTTTTTATTAATTGCTGCAAATACTCGGTCGCGTTTGCGTTTGCGACGCGATGGCGCTAAGCGTTATTCTCCAATACTTTTTTCTTTCATTTTTTTGTATTAAAAAATCGAGTATACGCCCCGTTGTGACTGGAATTGATTTGATTTCATTTGATTCGATTGCGGTGGCAATTGAGTGTAGTGTGTGTGTTTTGGTCAAAGTGCCTTTAATCGATGTGCAATTAGCATTTTTCTAGGGATTGCGGATCAGTTTCCTTTTTAATGAAAGTTGATTTGAGGTTTGGAAAAGGGGTTGAAATTAATTTAAAATATTTCCATTTTGAGGAGCTACTTTAATATATTGTATTTCTCAATAAGTTTAAAACACTACATAAATATTTAGTGATATTGAATCAGAGTATTTTAGTTTTAAAGGTTACTTAACTAGACTGTATTTAATTATTTTACAAACATTTATATTGGCATTAAATCAGAATTTATTTGTGGGGAAATTTATTGAAAATCGTTTCGTTTTAAACATATATTTATGTAGTATTTTTTTTTAGTATATATGTAGACGCATATTTATAAAAAAGGCTATTTTAATGGCTTGTCATCACCATATTTAATTAAGGTCTTCTAATATTTTAAAATGCTTTATTTAAATTTAACCTCATATAAAATGTATATCTTAATAAATCCAATTATTGGCTATTATTTATTGATATGATAATTGTCATAATCATCTGAGATCCATAAATATAGATAACCATAAAAATACTGATACCCATAAATGCTGATTATACCTTAATAGGTCTAGACAATAAAACTAAATTAGCTTTAACCATTATACAATTGGTTTAAATGAAAATAATGATATAAGTTTCCAACTACAAGTTCTGCTCTATATATATTTATAAATATATATATAAGAGAAAATTCCCATCATAACTATATATATTTATTATCTCAGCACAATCAATAACGACCTTGCCCGGTTTTAAATCAAAGAGAGAGACCGTCACCCAAAGCCACTTGATGGGATCTTGAAAGTATAGGATGTTGTTGTTGCTATTGTTGTTACTGTTATTATTATTGTTGTTTTTCTTGGCGCACTTGCAGCTAAGAAAAAGAAAGAAAAGGAAAAACAAATACATAAACGGACGAACGCTTTCTCACTCACTCGCAGCTTATCGCTTCTACGCTTAAGTAAACAACACAGTCCGCGGCATAAATAAACTTCCGTTGTCTCATGGGGACTTGTTGTTGTTGTTGTTATTTTTGTAATTGTTGTTTGTTTGATTTGCCTGCGGTTATCCATCTCTCTTTCTCTCTCTCTCTTTTACTCATGCTGTCTCTGTCCCCGGTTTCTCTGTTGTTTGCCGGCTTTTTTTCCCCGACGACTTTAATTTGCGCGCGTAACCAGAAAATCGTTATGAAAGAGAGCGCGCTCTTAACAAATATCACAAATATATATAAAAAACAATAACTAAATTAGACAAAAACAGAACAGTTAAAAAAAAAACAAAAGGGGAACTAGCTTGATATTCTAGAAATACAACAGAGAAAGGCCTCTAAAGTTATCCTTAAGATAGCAAAAGTATCTTTAGATGTGAAACAAAGTTAAAACAAGCTATAAATCCATTTTAAATCTTTAAAATACTATACATTATTTTATACAAATTTATTTAAGTGATGTTTTTTCCACTTAAAGCCTTAATTTTCCTATTTTTCCTGCCTAATCCTAACCATCTGTCCAGAATTGATTTTCTCTCCTCTAACTTGACCTGAATTACTTTATTTTTCGGGGCCTTCCCCTTGGCTGGGTTTTAGGATTCTTTGAGCTTTGGCCTAGGCGCTCATAATTGCAGCTCCCGAAACCTGAACGATCTTTTTGCCTGTTTGCTGCCTTATGGTTTCTGCCTGCCAGGCATTAAAATACACCTGTTTTGCGGCAATTTAATACTTTTTATGGCAGGGAAATAACGCGGTGCTGCTGCTACTGCATTGCTGGCATGACAGAGGAGGCCCAGAGTGCAGGTAATTCGGAAGCGGCCTCAAATGAAGCCGCAAGCCGGTCCGTGTGTGTGTGTGTGTGTGTGTGAGCGAGCGGCAACAACAAAAGCAGAGTTGCCGCCGCTGCCCAAAACGTGTAGCAGCGTTATTAGACCGGGCCTGATCTCAGTCAGTGTATCTGTATCCAGAGTATCCGCATCTGTATCTGTATCTGTATCTGTATCTGTATCTGTGGATGTGCGCACGTCTGCCAAGCGGCTGCTGGCCGCTGATCGCTTTTTACTCCGAGCGCGCTAAACCCGTGCCGTTTTTGGCTTTGTACTTTGCCGCCCCGTGGACTTCGTGTATGTTTGCGGCATGTTGCAAAGCAGATCGGACCTGGCCAGTAACACACATAGAAAAAATGTATATACCTTCTTTTTTTTGGGAGGTATAATATTTAAATGGGAATAAAATGATTTTTGATATAAATTGAATCCCTTTTAATTAGAGCATAAGAAAAGGATTTGAAGAGTATCTATTTGTATCTTCAAATCATTTTAAAGAGGGAGTAATACAAGGAATGTGGGAAACCCAGAAAATATAGTTCTAGTTATTTCACTAAGCAAATAACTATGTAAATTAACATAGTAATAGTCATAAGATATACTTTACAAATCAATTTAATGAATATAAATTACATCTTTCCATTCAAAAATAAGAACTTCCTATAAACAACACTCTTAAGAGGTTTTCCCTGATTTTGACTAAGGAAATAATCATATTCTAGCTTTTCAAATCTATCTTTTTATTAAAATATCCTTTAAATTTAAATGGGTTTACTCTAAAATCTATAAATTTTGTTTCTGTGCATTGCGGGCCAACTACAAAAAGCCAAAGGCATCGTCGTCGTCGTCGCACTCATTGATCTTAACTTTGAAAACAGTAGCTACTACGACTGTGGAGTGTGGAGTGGAGTGGAGTTGGTTGTGGCTACAGCTCTGTCTCTGTGGGGATATGGGAATATCGGCGGAATATGGGGTCTTGAGTCTCGACTTCAAGTGAAGTGGGGCGCACGAAAGCGGCCTGCACTTTGTTGTTGCTGCTGATGTTGTTGCTGCTGCTGATGTTGTTGCTGCTGCTGATGTTGCTGCTGCTGCTGATGAGGGTTTTGGTTAGCTACACTTAAAGTCTCATTCCCCGCTCATTTTTGTCGGTCTTTTTGTTTTTCTTTCCCCCTCAGCCCAGTTAGCTTATTTTTCTTCAGTTGATTTTGTTTTTTTTTTCTGCCCTGCCTGCTGCTTATTTTTTTGCGCACGCAGGCAAATTTAATCTCATTTTTTATGCCCTTGCAAAGGATTTTCAAATTGATTTCGACCGACTATGCTAATGCCGCAAATAAAGTTGTAGAGGATTTCAGGCATCGGTTTCGGTTCAGCCGGCCGAGTTCTCACAACTTGGCCAGCGGCTTAAGTCGGAAGCTATTAATTTTAATTGACGTGCTACTGTATTTTTCGGTTTTCTGCTTAAGCGGCAACTTTTGATATCTCCCCTTATATTTTTTTGTTCACTGCTTCATATTTCATTTCTGAGGCTACTGTTTTATTTGTTGTTTTATTTCGTTTTTTGGGTTGATAACTCACCTGCTGGTTGGGCTTAATCCATTTATTTGTGGCTTCCTCTGATGTTTCAGCTGCCATCTTAGCGATTTGTTTGGCTGCCATTTTCGATTCGATCACACATAGATATGGGTATATATTATATATGAATATTTGATATACTTTTGTGATGTTTTAATTTGAATTTTTTGTTCAGCACAGTTCGGAGCACTTTTTAAGGCGCTGCATTATAATTGGATTTTTTTTGTTTTGTTTTGTATTGATTGATTTGTGGCACTTGTCAACTGGTTTTCAAGAATTTCTATTCAATTGGACGGTAGGGGATTTTTCGTGATAATATATATATATAGTGTATTTGATTCGTTTTGTTATTTCAGCTGATAGCACTTCGATCTTTGTTTTTTTTTTGTTTTATCTGCGCCACGGCACACGCGCTCTCAACGTTCGCTCAAGTCGAATGCTCGCCACGGAATGAGGAATCGAATTTTTACCTTGCGCCCTCGTTGCTGCTGACGTCGCTGTCGGTGTCGCTGTCGGTGTCGCTGTCGATGCCTCTGCCTCGGTTGCAGTCGCTGCCGACGTCGCTCTCTCACATGTGCTCCTCGCTCTCTCTCTCTCTCCCTCTCTCTCTATCTTGCTCTTGGCAGCGGCATTTGTGTGGCTGCGTTTTTGTTTAGAATACGCAAAATAATAACAAAACTAATAATAAACTGCAGGGCAATGCAATTTGAGAGAATCGCCGACGGCGACGTCAACAGCGGCAGCAGCAGCAGCAGCAGCAGCGTTGCTGATGGCGGCAGCGACTGCTGCTACTTGTTAATAACCGTATTAAGGTTCCCTTTGATCTGCTTAATCGAAGTCCGAAATGGAATTCGCTTCTGGTCTTCGCCTGCCTTCCTTCAAGTCCTCGTTCCCTGTTTCGAGTTCGTTGCCTAAGTCTTTTGTTTTTTTCATGCGGTTTTTTTCTGCTTGTCTTAATGCTAATTTAGTGTAATTTTAAATTCTCAATAATTGTTCTTTATTTTTAAAGAGATAAATAAAAGTCAAATAACTTAGAAAAATTATTAATTAATTAACTAATTATTAATATTAATGAGGAAGGTAAATAATTAAATAATAATTTTTTTTTTTAATTTTTAACATGTTTTTATCAGTATTAAGAATATATTTTCTATTTAAAGATTATTTATTGAGGTAATAATATATTTTGGCATTGCCTTTCGTCATATATTAAACTTAATTTAAGAAAAATGAGTACAAATAATTCGTAAAACAATGAAATATTTAAATAATCCTGATAACTTGAATACTATATACTAAAAAATGGTACATACATATATTCTAAAGTTGTTGTTTTTAAATATAAAAGAAAGCAATATTTAATTAAATACTTAAATCTATTTAAATTACATAAAGTAAAGAACTAACGCTTAAATAAATTGAGTAAAAATAATTTTCACTGCTCCAAATTAAGTAATTACATATAAATTATATTTTTATGATCAATGCAATATTTTTGTCTTAAAATAAGCAATTTTACGACCTTATACATATGTTGAAAAGCCATAAAAGGTACCCTTTGATCTACCTAATCGAAGGACGCATTGAAATTTCATTCGCTTCTGGTCTTAACTCACTTTTAACCCAGCCGCGTTCGTTGCCTAAGTCTTTTGATTTTTTTCCAGGTCTTCTTTTTGGCAGAATCCCTCCTGCGTTAATGCTAATTTAGTGTAATTGCAATTGTTATGCACACTCTCATAATTCTCTCATCGCTGCCGTTTCATAAAATTTTTAGGTAAATTTATATTTTTATTTTGCCTTCTTTTTTATGATGTGTTTTATGGCCGTCGGCATTTCTGGGAATCGTAGTGATTTTGATATGGCCCTGGGAACTCCGTTGCGGGGCGGCGGCTTAAAGACATAAAATCTCAATAAAGTAGCCAGCGACTTTTATCTAATTGTAAATCTAAAGCAAAAAATAAGAAAAAAAAAACATCGAAATACGGTTAATTCCCCCTTTTATATATATATATATTTTTTTCAGACTACAAAAATTCACAAGAGAAATCATTTAGCTGCTTCCTTTTTGGCGGCCCTTGCCACGCTTTTTCATTTCCATTTCTATATGCGCGGTATATATGTATACGAAACTCAATTAATGACAGATCATTAAAGATTCTTATTTTTTTTGGGGCTTTTGATATTTGCCGTTTGGCCCCGAAATCGAAATACTTTTACGATTTTTCGCCCCCCATCACCGGCACCGACGGCCGTAAAATTGATTCTCTTTTGCAAAAATTTTATCACTGACCAAATTGATTTTAGCTGTTCGCCGCTGCTCCAATAGAAATTGTAGGCCTAAAGGAAGAAGAGACGAAATGAAACCAAGAGAAAAACAACAGCCAACGGCTGGATGAAGAAAAAATGATGTCCAACTGGCGGCGGCGGCAAACTTGAAAGTGGCAAATAGAAAGGAGCCGACTTGGCCCGGCGATTCAGTCCGATTCAGTGCAATATTTATGCATTAAGTACACGCAATTATTATGCGACAACGACGCGACGGCGGCGAACATCTCTGGAGATTATTGATGCTCGCATTGCTCATACGCAGCGTGGCCACTGGCCACTGGCACTAGGCACTAGGCGCTTGTGCCGTTCAAGCAATTAAAACGCCGCCAGCACGCGATGAATGCCATAAACATTTGACGCGCAATCAGCAACAGCAGCAGCAGCAGCAGCAGCAACACCAGCAGCAGCAGCAACAGCAGCAACAGCAGCAGCAGCAGCAACAGCAGCAACAGCAACAGCAGCAGCAGCAGCAACAGCAACATAAGTTGCAGCAGCAACAGCGGCAGCAGAAATGCTCCTTCGGCCGTTCGGCAATTACAGCAGCACAAATTCAAAGAGACTCCAGCTGGCAGCAGCAGCAGCATAATGATGATATTGCCATCGTGATGATGATCTGGCTGCGACGAGTGCTACTTTTACTGCACTGAAGAAAATTAGGTGAAGAAGTATTAATTTCATGTGATTAAATAAATGATTTGGACAATATTCGTATATAAATATACAAAGTACCTTTCTTAATATTAGTTTCTTGATTAGCTACTTTTCTGTCAAGAAAGTTATTATATTTCTGTAAAGAAATGGTTGGAAAGTTAAAATGTATAAATAACATACTATATAAATAAAACCTTCGAATCTAGACGAAGGATATTCTTAATACAATTGTTATAAAATAAATTACAATTATAATAATCTTGTTAACAAGAAAGATTTGATTATTATCAAGTACCTTCTAGTAAATGAATGAAAGATACTTTAATAAAGTTTAAATAATATACAAATAGAATAATAATTGAATAAAATGATTTTCATATAAAACTAATAATAGAATAATAATTGAATCAGTGACTTAGCTTTTTGCTTATTTATAATATCACAAAGTTAGAAATTTGCATAAATATGTAAGAAAATATTAAAAACCTTTAAAAGTCTTTATAAATTACATAAATAAAGCAGATTAAATCTCAAAAATATTTGATAATGATCCAAAAAATAATAATTTTAAACAATAAATTATTAACCACAAAGTTGACCCCAATCAACCACAATTTTTTGCAGTGTGGGGCCAGAAAAACAGATCACGGGCGGACGGACATGGACATTCATTTCGCTTAAGCGCACTAACCGGGTAAACGGGTCGGTGTCTTTGATCCTGGCATTCTATTGTTCCGTTTCAAAGGCCACTATTATGTAAACAATCGGCGGCTTTGATCTTGGCCGCATCAAAGTGTTGCCGCCGCGTTTCATCTTTTGCCGCATGCAGCAAATAGCAAGCGGCAAGCAGCAAGCGGCAAGCAGCACCAAGCGAGCAGCAAGCGGCAAGCAGCAGCGCCAGCTGATGTGATGATGCCCCTGCCGAAGATGAAGATGATGATGATGATGATGACGAGGAGGATCATGAGAAAGAAGCGACAACCACTGCGTAGTTAAAGCTGCTGCTGCCACGGCCAGTGCTGCCTGCCACCATTGAGCTATATAATTTCGCATAGGCTGATCACCCGAAGCACCTGGAACTGTGTAGAAGAGGCAGGAGCAGGAGCAGGAGAAGAAAACGTTGCCAGCCTCATAACTTTGGGAATAATCTTCAAAGCGCCGACAACACGCTTGACATCAATCGAGTCAAGCCATTGCCGCTCTAATCCCAACAGATGGGCTCCCGGATCACTCGCCGCCGATAAGCAATTAAAATTTCATTTCATTTAATGCACAACTTTATTATCGGTTTCGGTTTCGGGGGGGGAACCCCGTCACGGTCACGTCCTTTGATCCTTGATTCAAGGATCAGCCGTGCAACTGTTCCCGTTTTGCAAAAAAGAGAAAAACAAAAAAACCCAGCCACACTGTGGGAAAAGCAACAGGTGCACCGGGGATCCAGCATCCAGCATCCAATCACCAATCAGCTGCAACCGGAGACCGCATCTCTAATTTCATCGGCCAGCGATCATAATTGCATTGCTCTCGATTGATGGAGGTCAGTGCTGGATGTTTTATATATAGAAAAATCCTTTATGTATGTATCTACTAAAATTTATTTAAAAATTTAAGTTAATTTAAATTTCTTGTATAGAAATTGTGTTCTAGATAGCATCAACATAATTATTTTTAAATGATATACATATAAACGATTAATGTCGTGTTATGAATATGACTGTATATATAAATGATAATATATATTAGACAATGATAAAAAAGGTATTAATAAAGGGTATTAATATAACACATTAATTACAAGTTATTAAGTTATATAACTTAATTTTATATTTGTTTATTTAGAAAAAGGATGTGATTAACAAAATACTGAGACACAGCGGTCGTGAAACATATTTTAAAAGACTTTTTCAATTAAGAACTATATAATATATTATTAAATTTTTTATTTAAAATAGTTGAAAGCTGTATAATATTTAAAATAATATAAAGGATAAGCATTTTGTATGATCCAGAAGAATATAGAACGATTTCAAACGGAACCTAATCTTGTGATTAAACCTTCAAAGATTCTTATTTTTACAGATAATATATATTTTTTAATGATTTAATTTCTTTTAAA